GATCTATCAAGGCTTCCTGTTTGCTAGTGTTACTCATGATCTACAGCAATGACAACTAGATGGATTAGGCGAAACCCAAAATGATCTGCCCAGAAAATTCACCAGTATTATTCCACTCCAGAATACCAAGGACAGTTTTTTATGAGGTAAGGTAGCTCAGCATCAATTACTTCATTCAAATAAGGTGCAGCTAAATACCTGTGTAGGGCAGGAGCTTCATTTGTAATTAAAGAGTGTGATTGCAAAACATATTTTGCAGTTACCTTTTTGAGTTTTTGCTTTTCAGTGTCCTCTTCTGACGCTTCATCAGCAGCATCCAGCTGCAGCTCTGTCTCCTCTTTCACAACTTGCTCTTCAGCAGTTTGCACAGCAGCAACCAAAACATCTGGCTGCTCAGAGTTAACAGGGGTCGCACTTCTCCCACTCTCTTCCATCTCAGCTTCCTCAGCATGTAAAACAGGAGCATCATCCAAGTTTTCAGATGTGTTTTTCAGGGCATCAGCCATTTCTGTCTTTGGCGCAGAAGGGCTGACAGCGACAGATGCTGAAGCAGAAGCCCTGCCTGATAACTCATCATCTGAATTTATTTCACTTACACTTCTACTATCTAAAGACTGTACACTAAAGGAATCAATTCTTTCAAAAGCATCAGAAGAGCTGCAGCTCTCGGTCATTTTTTGAAAGTCATCTAAACGATTATAATCTGCACAGGCAGACGTAGATAAAAGCTGAAATGATGTTTGCATTAAATGGAGACTGGATTTTGAATCTGCAGCTTCTTGTCTCGAACTTACTGAGCTCTCACTTATTACACTTTCATGGTCCAGAACTTCAATATCACTAGTTGTGGATGTCCCCGAGGAGAAAGTGCTAACGGGAGGTGAGGGTGTATTGCTTTGCCTGTCCTCAGTCTTTCGCTCCCGGGTTTCCAAACCCGTGTCTTTTGTACCTGCATTAAGAGGCTGCAAAGTGCTATCTGGTGCACTTCCTGTTCCATCCCCTTCTACACTGGATTTTTCATTTATAGGTTCTTCAGGTACTTCCAAATTTAGAGCAGACACCTTTTTGTCAGTAACTTCATTTGTGCTTTCTTCATGCTTAACATTAGATTCAAGCACAGAATTCTCTTCTAACTCCTCCTTGGGAACATCAAGGTTTTTCAAGTCTTCCAGGCCAGCTACAGAGGAATCCTTCACTTCTGTCTCTGTCATCACTGGTACTTCCACCTGACTGGGGTGCTGAGGCTCCTTTAAAGTGCTTTTCACCTCCTCTTTGGGTCGCTGTGATTTGGCTGGAGGTTTGGACACCACTGGATTTTTCTGTATGCTCTGAACATCTGTTGGAGAGAGAAAGGCACTGAAGAAGCTTTCAGATTCGTCTACTACCGTCCTCCTCACTGGCTTAGTGATTGCTGTTGGTGATGCTGGCTGATTCTGTGGTTCTGCATTTGAACTTAAGCCCCAGGAAGATGTATCCCATCCTCCACTTATGAGAGAATTTGTTCCTAGAACAGTGAAAAAAAAAAAAAGATAGGCAAAGAACACTTAAAATGTATTATTTTGCAGTATTTGTAACTTTAGATACAACAGTTCAGGAAAAAAATGATTTTAATAACATTTAACTTCGAATGAATATTATATATCATCACAATTAGCACAATTTTCCTTACTAATTCCTTAAAAAGGTTGGAACTGATTTTTAAATAAAGCAAAAGAAGCTTAAGGGAGACACAAAGTAATTCTAAAATTTTAGGTGGACAAAGACACCTCTAGAAAGTAGGACCTAAACAGAACCAACTTGCTCCTTCCCTCTTAAACAGTAACTTAAGCAAAGACCGAAAGAAACCATACACAAAATACACTATACACAATCACAGTAAATTCCAAGAGTGACAATTTCAGAAAGAAGATGGAGAGAAGTGTCTAGGAAGGTGGAACAAGCAACACAGCATTCCTAAAGCAATTCTGAAGTCTATCTGGGCACAGAAAGCAAGAATTTCCTTTGCAAAGGGAAAAAGAGAGAAGGAATGTGGCCTCCGGCTCCCTGAAGTGAGAGAAGGCTGGGCAAAACAGTCCGTAAAACTGGGGCTTAAAAGGAAGTAATTATACAGATTACAAAGGGATGAAACAACTACTGGGTCTTAGAAGTTACCTGCCAGTAACAGATAACACAAACACTTTGCACACCATTACAGAAAACACGGGGAGAAAAAAAGCTTCAACTATCTGCAGAATTTACACTATAAGAGTTGTTCTTGCCCTTTCATGTTTTTCCTCACACACCAAGCAAGAGCACAAAGCTGACAACACACACTCTCAGCAGGCCAGCTGATAGTTTTGTTCTCCTGTGGAGAAATACCAAACTGGTCAGTTCTGAAGCTGCCCCAAGCTAACATCAACAGTTCCTATTGTATTTCTTGCAGGTTTTCCAGGACTTGTCAACAGCAAGGGTAATAAGAATTTCAGCATCAAATTTCAGCAGCATCCCAAGTAAGAAAGATAAATCAAAAAATAATATCCAATTTGATTATGTACCTACAAACATACTCTGGATAACATACTACAGGCTACTTCAAAATAAGCTTACTTTATACAGCAGCATCTATTAAAACCCACCGAGTTATAATACTTCAAGCAGACTACCACTATCAGAAACTACTGATAGCTGTTGGCCTCAAGATCCCAAATTCAGATAATTACTGCTCTCAGTGCCAAAAATACTACAAATATCTGATTCATTACTACCTTGTCCATGCACCAATAGCTTCAAGAAAAAACTCTGAGTGAACTGTAACACTCATTACATTTTGACCTCTTTCAAAAACAAATGCTTTCCCTTAAGAACAGATGCAGACTGATCATTGCTGCTTTCCTTATTAAGTACAGAACTGCTATATATGCTAAGGTATAAGTGAAATTGAAAACTGTTTTAGAAAAGTCTAAAGTTTTAAGAAACAAAACACAACACAGTCTTTATTATAAACAATTCCTATCACTTAAGATTACTCTGGACTACTGAAACGACTGCCAAGTCCCTGCTCCTGCAAACGGACAAAGACATAAAACCAGGCCAGAAACACTTTTGGTTGTTACAGCTTTCAATTTTCAGAAATCTAATTCTGCTGTGCGTATACCTGGAAACAGCCTCCTCCTACAAATAAATACATTTCTTCTAGATACAACTGCAATAAAGGCGTTGGTTCCAGATGACCTGGTTTCCTATCCTTTTCTTTGTTCATTCTTATCTTTAAAGTAGAAGTAAGATTCCAAGGAGAGGGCCCTTTCTTGCCCTTTCATTTCCAAACAGCAGCTCAGGACTGGTCACTTTTTTCAGGTCCTACATCAGCACACGTACAGACACTTCCTCATAACCAAACCATGACGATTCTCCCACCAACACATTCCTTTCTACAGATGTTAGAGGATTATGAACTTAACAACACTAAAATTGGAAACTTCATTTAGTTTAGAAGGACTAGACTTTCAGCTTTTACTGTCACAACGAATAACCCTATGCATGCCTCAGAAAAAAAGCGCAATTTTCCCTTTTTTTATTAACTAAGCGGGTTCTAACACCTATTAGCCCCTCAGCAAAGAAAAATACCGCCTTGAGAAATACAGGAATGAAGCCTAGTGCTGCCTATGCAACAAGAGCATGACACACTGGCCGCGATAGCCGGGTATGGCCTGTGCTGCCGCCTCCTCCGCTTGCTATCAGCTCTATACCCCCCTCGCCTGTGAGGGACGCCCCACAGCCGCTGCGGGAGGGCCGGTCAAGCCCGCACCACTGCAACCCCCAGCCGGGCTGAGGGGGGAAAGCGGGCAAAGAGCGAGCCGGCTCCGCCCCACTGCGGGGACAAGACGGGTCAGGCCGCCTCACATGGGGTCTAGGGCACGACCTGGGCCGCCCACCGCCCCACACTCACCGTCTCCGTAATCGGGGATGACGGCGTCTGGCCAGGGGGTCTCCTCAGCCTGGATGTCCAGCACCCTGTCGATAGACTTTTGGGCCTGCGACAGTGCCTGCTTGGCGAAGCTGGACAGCTGCGAGGCGTTGAACCAGCTCATCCTCCGGGCCCGCGCGGAGGCGGCGGCACCGGGCCACAAGCAGAGAGCCGGCAGAGCCCTCGGCCTCCGGGCAGGCAGTGGAAGCGGGCCCCGCCGCCAGGCTCCACGTCGCAAACAAGGCCGCACGCAGCCGCGCTCCGGCCGCCGCGCGTCAGGAGGGGCGGGCCCAGGTTGCTGGCATGGCGGCGGGGCCTGCTCGGCGCATCACCGTCAGCGGCTGAAAGCGCAGCTTTGGTGCCCGGTTCTTCAGCTGCTCGACGCAAACAAGGAAGAAGGCCGTTCTCTTCTAGACCTCAGCTCACTGCTTTAAGCCCCACAGCTTACGTGGGGCCGTTTCACCCTTACAAACGTGCGGCTGCTGGTTAAGTATCGGTGTCCCCGAGTTCAAGCACAAGGCTGGAATATGGGAAGTTTAAACACAGTCTGTAGTTTAAAAGATGGAAATTTTAAACCCAGCTCGCATGCATCAAGTAAACTCAAGAACTTCAGGTATTTGGCACTGCTTACTGGAAGGTGAAGCAGCCAAACACCCTAGGTGTTTTAACCAATGTTAAATGTCCACAGATAAGCCACAAACTAAGGTGTTTTTATGATTTTTTTATTAATAAATACCTTAACAGCACCAATGATACTTGAACAATCCTGCAATGCTGTGCACAGCAGCTGCCTGGGGACTGCAAGGAGATGTATCCATGTATCCAGGTATGGTTTTGTCCTTTCATGTTTGCTTGTAAACGAAGTAATCTCTTCCATACTTGACACCTTTCATAGAACTGATCAAATCAATACCAAATAAGAGGAAAATGCTCATTTTAATCTACTAGCCTCTTCTGGTTTCAAGGTAATTCACAAAGTGTACCGGAGTGCTGCAATTTAAAACCACATTCTGTACTGCCTTTTAAAAAGTCACCTCTTCGCGTATACATATGCACACGTGTTGAAAATAAGGTTTGGCCACCTTAAAGCTTCCATGTATCTGAAAGTATGCCAACACTAAGATTTTGACAATGAAAACTGGAAAAAAACTGTATTCCTATACATCAGAATTCTGTACATTAATAAGCATTTATACAAATATAACCCACCAAATATTGGCTTCTGTGTACAATTCTGAAACATGGCGATTCATATGCATTCCCTAACCTCCAACAATGCTAGTACTAACAGGAACAATTCAGGCTGCTTTAGCACCCACAGGGCACGTTTATTTTACAAGGTGGGTGCAGATTTCTCACACTGTATATGCAGTTTACTTATGAATAAATTAAGTGGTAAAGTGAAGCTTGAACAACATAGTTTGTGGTGTAGTAACATCAGCAACTGCAAGTTCCTGGCCATCCACAAGCCCCAATTCTGAAACAGAAAAAAGAAGTTTAAGTACAGCAAACCCATGTGACTTGTCTTTCTTTTAAATTAAAAGAAAGTTATGAATGCCATTCCCATAAACCGTAAGTATGATGAACTGAGGCTGCAAACACTTCACTAGCTAAACCAATATTCACCTAATTCAACTAGAAAACCAATAGACCTTGACAAGAAATAATAAAACACTGCCGAAGCATGTTTCGTTTTACATCAGTTCAATTTTGTTGCAATGTTTTTCTCTGTATCTGCCCATGTTTCACATTTAAGCAATTCAAAGCTCAGCCATGAGCAAACTGAGAAAAGAGTATTGTACATACAAGGATAATGAAGCACGTTCTAGTGTATAGTGCAAAATAAAGTTAAACATGCCACAGTGAGGGATAAAACTGACTTTCTGTTTAGAGCAGTATCATGAAAATCTACACATGACAAGTGTAAGATACCTTTTAGTGTCTTGGAAAGATTTGGCCTTGTACGTTCTTCGATTGAAGCTACCGTCTGAAGAAAAACAGGTAAAGACAAGTCAAAACATTTCCCTTCAAATTCAGGAAAGTAAATTTAATTAAATAAAGATTATTAAAGATAATTACATATATTCAGGTTACCTGTAAGTAAAGTGTTTTATTTCCCCCATACATAGTTGCTGTGATTGCAGGAGATTTCATTTGCCTATATATAAAACATTTTAAAGAAAAACCAGACAATCAGGTAAAAATCCATTTAGAAAGTGCCTTCTTGAAACTGAACTACAAAAAATTATCAAATAAATCGTAATAGCTGCACACTTACAATGAAGCATTATTTGTCAAGTAATCCAAGATCTCCTGCAGTTTAGCTGATGGGGAAATCTCTATGTTTTGGGGAAGTTGGCTGCAAGCTGGACAGTTCTCCTGCACAGGAATGCATGTTACATTAGTGTTTCAAAAATGCTGCTAGTAAGGTCTCAAAACTATTTGTGTGTTTGTGGGGTTTTATCTCTAGAAATATTAATACTGCTGCAAGTATTAGTGACAAAACCCAGCTCCTCATGAGGTTTGTCACTGTTTGACTGGCTCCCAACAGCAACAAAGTATTTATGAATTACAAATTCCACCTGACATATAAAATTTAATACTACAAACTTACAAATCAATTGCTGTCACAACCTCTTTTGGGGAAGATTTGCTTATGAGTCTTCTTAAGATTGTATATCTTATTTTGTAAACCATATTTCCCATATGACAGGGGAAGTCTTCAGGATTCACTTTCAGTAAAGTCAGGTATTGTTTCTTCTGCAGGTAATACCGCAGGTAGCACAGCAGAAACAGTTGTCTGAAGAACATGTACTCCCACGTTGCACCAGCAGACACCAGAAATAGCTGTCTGAAGGAACTCCCTATACCAGAAGCTACTTTTCTAAGTATTAAGAAACTTTGGCTAAACATGCAAAAGTTAAATATTTATCTATTATATACACTATGTAATAGGTTTTGGTAAACTGATGGGTAGAAGAAAAGGTTTCATTACCAGGATACCAAATAAAACATCTGTTCATCTGCAGGCAAAGAGCCCTGCTACTCTGCATGGACAGACCACCACTGTCATCACTCTTAGACCCCAGAACCACAGAAAATTTAACAGAACAGAAACTCCTACAAACTAAAACCAATGTCTGGAGAAGTAGCAGACAAGAAACACTGTAGTTTCTGCTTTTAAAACTTCAGAAATACAATTATTCAGTGCTAGGGCTGAAGAGGTTCAATACTGGGTTTCAGAAATAGACACAAACTGTCTAAATTCAATAAAGATCAAAATCAAGAAAACAACCCTGCAAGACTTTAACAGCACTAACCTTCCTCTCAGCTTCAAATGTGTGTGTGTATAATCCATCCACATCATTAAACACCAAGTAGTTGTTAAGAGGAATGTATGCACTGTAAATACAAATATGTTTGTGTTAGTATGTGCCATTATGTTAAATATCATGTAAGTTATTAATATGAAATGAAATACCTTGTGGCTATTTTAAAAACTTCAGTGGCGCAAACAGCTGCAATAAGGGAAAAAAACAAGTTTCTTCATTCTAGCTCAGAACATACAGAGACATCAGTGCACAGAGATGTGCCAAAAGTGACAAGAAGTAAATCAAGTACAACAATTTGTAAAGAGAAAAATAAACATCTAAAGGTAGCTGGTAGTTCTATGCATTAATACCACAGATTCAGCATTGAGCTGATATACTGTGGGGGTTTTCCCCATTCTTAAATGCTTTTGATCACTCCCAGAGTCATACACAAGTTTAAAATGTATAGTCACATACTCTGTCGAATACAGAAATGAGACCATAAGAATAAATCAAACTCATTTAAAAAGTTCTCAATTCCAAACTGTTGCCTTACAAAACTCAGAAGTGTGGAAAGCAGAAGTGAAATGAGTTCTTGTAGCATACCTGCAATTACTGCATTTGTAGAAGCTACTGCTGGAATAATTCGTTTAACCACCCCTGTAAAAACAGAACATACAGCTTTGTCTTTTCCAAGGAGAGGCAACTGAGATACGGCTTTTTAGCCAGAATAATTATAGAAGGGGGTACTCAAAAGTACTTTAAGCATTCCAGGAGCTTCTCTAATAATAAGGTATGATGGCGTGTTGCTCAAGTATTTGGGCGTTTCTTTATTTTAGGAATGGATCAAACACATTGAGAAAAATAAGGTATTGCATAAAGATAACTAATAAACTAATTCTAAAACCAAGTATTCTGTATTTACCACTGAAAATTAATTTCAAACCCAGTCCTAGTCTTGCTTAACTGGAAAAATGCAGGAAGGAAAGATATTTGAGTTTGGAATTCCTTCTGCAAGAACAGGCTTGCCAAACTGTACTGGCATCTGTAGCCAACTCTTCTTCCATCCAGCTAAACAGCCATACACCAATATGAAGCAAGATTTATGCATACAAGTTTGTACACCAGTAACAAGGAGGTTCACTCTTTCTCATGCCTGCCAAAACACAGCAAATTCCTAAGTAATCTGAAGTTCCTCTGGCTTCTCATTATTCACTTGTCCCCTCCATACCTGAGAAAACATGCATAAAGCTTTTATCTTTGCCATCTTTCTTCTATGTACTTTATAATTAAGCCACCTTCAAACACTGAAAACCATGCTGCCATGTGCATGCACATTATATTTAATAATTGGAGTTCACATTTATCTGTACCAAAAAATACTACTAGAGAAGCCAGTATAAACTGCTGCAAAGACAATGACTATCTGCAATACACTAGGGGGAATCTGAGGAAGATACACAACAATCAGTTTGCCCTTTCTTGATAGAAAGGCACACACTGAGGTTCAAGTGTGGCATTTCAAGCTCAGCATTTCAAACGTATTCTCAGTACTACAAGCCAACAAACAAAAGTTATTACAAATTCCAGAAATACTGTATGAGACTCTCCACTTTTCTATTTGGTTAGTGTTTAAAATGCTCAATGAGTGGCAGCATCCTGCATCTGCACCTGAACAGAGGCACGCACAGCAGTGAAGAATAGATGCTATACTCATAACCAGCCTAAACTGGCATAAAATGTTCTTGCTTAAAAGAAGCAATCTCATTCTCCTACTCTTTGACCCAGCAAAAGTGGTCACAGTGTAATGTAAACCATGGAGCTGCTCCAGGCTAAAAATAAAATGACAAAAATAATGTTCAGTTTTGTCCCAATTAAGTTCCTCTGATTCATCACAAACATCTGATTCATCATAAAAATATTTGTGCTGGTACAGAAAACAAGCTGTTTCTGTTTTAAGATGTTAAGGGAGAAAAGAACTATTTCTTTCTCAGCAGAGCTGCCAACTTAGTCATAACAAACACAAGGAATACTAATCCAGACTAATTGCAAATGCCATAAACTTAGTGAAATGCCATACCCTTACCTTGGGTGAGTCTGTATGTGACACCTTTAATTTTAAATTGTGATGCTCTTTCTAATGACTTCTGGTAAATCCACTGGATATGTTCAGGGTCATCTCCATCCAACGCAACACCTTCTACAGCAGGGTTAAGAATTTATAAGTAAGTTAGTCACAAGATTCTTCAGAAATGTTCTTTTTGTCTAAAAAATACCTTTCATTAAGATTAAAATGAATACCCCATTAAGCCATTCAAACTTGATACTTTAAACAAATACTGTTTCTACAAACATTGTAAATTCTAACATTCTATACACAAACTATCTTAACTTTGCAGATTTATAGAGCTGTTAGAAGTTACATTTTGAATCAGGAAAGTCACTGTGCAGTATGACAGAGATAAACACATCATCAAATTTGGAACTTGAAAGCAAGTCCGAGCAGAGAAAATCCATCACCAGCTCAGAGGAGCCTCAGACTGACTACAACGAGCTACCTAAGGTTAAAAGGTAGGATTGTTCTATTAAAAGTAGCTGTGTATACCTAACTCAAAACAAATCAGTTAAAAAGAGAACTGTCAGTTTAGCACCAGTGCAATATACTCATTACCTCCAAAAGGTTGCTCCTTGGGCCACAGCAATATCCTGACATACTCAATACAGTGCTCTGGTAGCCTGGGCATAGATGCAATTGTACACATGGGAAAATTGACCTGGTGTGGGCAGGGGAGGAAAACCAGAAGAAAGTGTGTAATACATTATGTATAGTGCTAGGAAAAAAAATAAGCTAATCAGAGGAATATAAAGGAAGTATCACTAGTTGCAATTACCTGTGGTGGGTAAAGCTCAAGCGTGCATTCAACACAAGCTGTCATACCAGGAATAATCACACGAACATTTCCTTTAAAACCTTCTGTCCCTCCATCGATTAAAGGTATGATGGAACTTGGATCCAGTACACCATCTTCATAGTGTAAAAATGACATCTAACGAATAAATGGGGGGAGGAAGAGGGATTGTTGGATTTTGGTTTTCCAAACAAGTTGCAGGGAGGAAAACAAAAAACCCCTAAAAATGTTATTCTTAATAGTATACCAAGGCTGAATGCTTAATATACAGTTTATTTTAAGAGCACCTAGTGTATAAGACACTACTTATCAGTGCACAGGACTTATCAACCACCTTCACCCTCCTCCTCCCTTACCCCCCAGTGAATGCTGTTTTCCCCTTATACTATACCAAAACAAATGACTAATTGGTTTGCAGGATTTGGGGGGTTAATTCTTGGTTTGTTGTTTTGTTAGGGTTTTTTTGTTGTTTTGTTTTGTAGATACTGGTAAATACTCAAGCCTTCTACTACTGTGTAGCACCAGGGCTCCAAGAGATGACATTTACAAGTTGCAGCATGGTAAGTACTGTTTGGCTAATGAGAAAAACCCAACCGTTCACAATGAGAGCATCCAGAGAAGCTGTGGAACTTCCCTTCTTATGCTTTTCAAAAGCTGACTGCACAAGGCCACACAAATGTGATCTAAATTTGAAACTACCCCTGCAGGGCACTGCACAAATGTTATCTAACACTCCTCAAGAAAAAGGCAGCTAAGAAAACATGCATTTTATCCTGTTCACAAAGACAAAAGAAAACAGATGCAGAAAGCTGAAGTTTCAACAGCCCTCACTTCATTTTAATAACACATTCTACACAAATCTGTTCAATTCTAGTTAGCTATACTCAAGCAATAACTAGGCTTTAAAAAAGATTGAATTAAAAAAGACTTTACCAGCATGCCATTTATCCATCTTCTGGCAATTATAGAGTCCAGCCCACAAACAATAATATGAAATTCTAGAGGGAAAAAGAGTTTAAAGTCCACACTAAATCATACTTCTTAAGACAAGCAAAATATTCTGTTGATAACAGTCCAGAGGAACTGACTGCAGTTTAACTATCTCCCTTAGATCCCCTATATTACAGATGCGTTTGTCTATTTCATAGAATCATAGAAGAGTTAGGATTGGAAAGGACCTTAAGATCATCTAGTTCCAACCCCCCTGCCATGGGCAGGGACATCTCACACTAGACTATGTCACCCAAGGCTTCGTCCAACCTGGCCTTCAGCACCACCAGGGATGGAGCATTCACAACTTCACCACCCTTACAGTAAAGAACTTCTTCCTCATATCCAATCTGAACTTCCCCTGTTTAAGTTTTAATCTGTTACCCCTTGTCCTATCACTACAGTCCCTAATGAAGAGTCCATCCCCACCATCCCTATAGGCCCCCTTCAGATACTGGAAGGCTGCTATGAGGTCTCCACGCAGCCTTCTCTTCTCCAGGCTGAACAGCCCCAACTTTCTCAGACGATCTTCATGCAGGAGGTGCTCCAGTCCCCTGATCATCCTCGTGGCCTCCTCTGCACTTGTTCCAACAGTTCCATGTCCTTTTTATGCTGAGGACACCAGAACTGCACACAATACTCCAAGTGAGGTCTCACAAGAGCAGAGTAGAGGGGCAGGATCACCTCCTTCGACCTGCTGGTCACACTCCTTTTGATGCAGCCCAGGATACGGTTGGCTTTCTGGGCTGTGAGCACACACTGCCAGCTCATGTTCATTTTCTCATCAACCAACACCCCGAAGTCTTTCTCCACAGGGCTGCTTTGAATCTTTTCTCCACCCAACCTGTAGCTGTGCCTGGGATTGCTCTGACCCATATGCAGAACCTTGCACTTGGCATGGTTAAACTTCATAAGGCTGGCATCAGCCCACCTCACAAGCGTGTCAAGGTCCCTCTGGATGGCATTCCTTCCCTCCAGTGTATCAACCAAACCAATACTTCATAGTTCTACTTCCAGTACAGTATACTGTAGAAGACTAAAGTAGTTAGCTATCTAACCACCAGGAAAAGTAGGTGCAACTGCCAGGTTTCCCTGAAGGACCAGTGTGTGCTTGGCAGGGAAACAAATAGCACTTACGTCGATAGAAGCTTTCGTCCATGTCTTGAATCTTTTTAAAATATCTGAATGTAGGCCCAGTAAAGGAATATATTTATAAAGTAGATGAGTTTACTGTTTTCTATTTGCTACCCTAAAGCAAAAACATTGTCTATTTTGTTACTATTTGTTATAAAAAGTAGTATATAAAATTAAGATTGAAAATTCCCGCAGCTGAATCTGTGGCATCTGAAAAAAAACCACCCAAAAGTAAGGGACACAACATAATAGTTCACAGAGGAGAAAGCTCAGTAGGCAAACTAGGAAGCTCTAAACATGTGCTCTCACAAAGTCCTGTGTCAGTAAGTGCTGCTCCATGTTTATAAACTAATGTCTGCTACCAGTACATACTCAAAAGACTGATGAATAAACCTGATATTTTAATATTTTAGTGAAAAATTGAATACTGTTTTTGAATAAAAAGACTCAATAGAAGGAAAGATACAAAAGAGTTTCTTAAAGCTTAGTCTTCTTTCCCCAATGCATACTTCCTGTATGCCAGTGTCACTGAGAAAGAATTCCTAGTCACCAGCTGAATGAATCTGTTCTTTATTGTATGAAAAAGAGAGGATGGCAGCAAATTACTTTTGATAGTCTTACCGCCTACAGAGTTTTCTAGGTTTTTTGAAGCTTTCAGGGCTACTACTTCCCTGCAAAAGGATACGCTACGACAGCACAGTTGGGAATGCGGTTGTTTAGGAATTCTGCTGCAACTTCTGCTTTTGGTCGCCCAACATCCTTTGGACTGGAAGAAACCAAGCAATTTCAAACACATTTTTTAGTAGATTCAATCTTTCCAGACCCCACACATTGCAATACTGAATTAAATGACTAATTGTTACTGGAAAACAATTTATTGATATGGATAGTATCACATACAATAGAATAGTTTGAGTTGGAAGGGACCTTCAAGAGACATCTAGTTCAACCCCCTGCAATAAGCAGGGACATCTTCAATTAAATCAAGTTTTCCTAATCAAGGCATCCTTGTAAAGCACCAGATATAAGAACCCGTTATTTAAATATGTCCATGTACCTAAAGTACCAAAACCATACAATTTTTCACTTAGCTTGGAAGAAAAGGGCACCAGAAAGATTGATATGTCAATCTGTGTGCATTATTCTTTGGTGTCGCTTTTTCATTAGTCATTAGCTGTATCTGAATGGTAAGGAACCTACGTTAATTTTCTTCACACCACAGATCCTGAACAAGGAGGAATCATACACAACATTTAGTTAATTATGAATATTATTGTGATATGAAAGTTCAGTAACATTTAATGATATCTTGTTCAACCAAAATAATGACCAGTCACATATTTTAAGTACATTTAAAAAACCAAAAGTTGAATAGTGAAAATATCACTTACCGAAACAGAAACTGTCGGTTCAGATTAGAAACATCTATAGTATCCATGTCAATAACATGGATGTGTCTGAAGCCAGACAGTGCCTGTGAAAAGAGAGTGTAAACTTCATTTAGCAGGAAACGAAATGCTTACAGTGCTCCAGAATTCATTCCGTGTGCCAGAGAAACAACCTTTGGAGGTACAAACCTATTTGCTTTTCATTCCCTGTGCAGACAGGTACATTGTTATTCTTCGTTAAAAGAATATCCTTTGTTGGGTTAGTAATGATGATGTTTACACAGATGGAATTAGCCACCTTTCAATGATCAAAGACAATGCTCTACTGAACAAAAAATATTGCTTTATGCTAGTCATAACACAGGGAAGAAAACAGTAGGCTGATCCATAAGGGGAATTTGTAGTATTCCCTCACAACTGGAGTAAATCAAAAGCCTCTATTATGGGGAAAAAAAGGTAAAGAATTTGAAGAAATACCAATGCTTGGCAGGAAGAGAAAACCAAAGTTTAATTCCTCTAAAATGTTAAGGTTTTGAACATTCACTATTTTCACAGTTGGCATAAATGAGCCTGGCATATCCACCTTCAAATCACAGTTCAAAATAAGCCAAAGCAAACACATAAAGTTCCCTCCCTATCAAAGGATGCACCGAACCTCTGGCAGAGGTTCTGCCTCATCTCCGTTTGCATGCAGTCCATCACCAGACTGGGCAAATAACTTTGAAGTAAAATTGTCTTAAAACTGGCTTGCAGGTCTGATCTGATAAAACAATAATGTCTGTCAGACGCAAAGAAACTATGTGAATTGTAGTTGAAGTGAAATAAATGATGTAAAACACTGGTTTTAGAGATAGGAAATGTGTTGTGATGTTCTGAAGTGACTTAAAAAACTTGAAGTCCTGTACCTTATGCGTTTTCCTTTAAGACCCAATCTTGTTATATAATAAAGACTTTCAGACTTTACATTTTCTGAATAAACAGAGCCACCCCATGCATAATAAGCATTGAAAACGCTGTACTGGGGAACGGATTAAACAACTGCAAAACAGGACTGAAGTCCTCCAGAATAGAAACTGATTCTTATAAGAAAAGCAGCAAGACTCTCTCTCTGTTACACTGGATACCCTTGATGCAGAGCAATCATTCTGTTTCCTTGATAAATGTTCAGCTTTTGTTCAATATTATCAAAGCAGACTTGGAGAGCCTGCTAAAAAGAAGAGTGAGTCTGGGGCATCAGAACATACAGTCTTTATAAAGCTTAGATTCATTGTCCCAGAGACATGAATACATGTGAACAGAATCTAGGTTTGCTTACTGTTCTGAAAATCATAAAAACAAATCATGACAACTTAAAACTGTACTGATGGGAATTATGCACACACAGCAGACTTATGAAGTTCCTTATTACATACAAGTCCTCCACCTCAACAAGCTGTCAACAGATGGAATTTGTTATGTCTCAATGAAGACATAAAACAGGAGCTCTGTGCAGAGGTTAAATTCACCAGGACTAAATTCCCAAAGAAAGAAAACCCTCTTGGAGCTGTCATAGTCTCTCCAAGTAAAATCTTGCCCAAGCATTGCAGCAGCAAACCAGCAACCAGAATAAGAGCACATGTTAAGTGCTGGAACTGTAAAACCCCTAAGTTAATGGATCTGGGATGCCTGGCTTTAAATGAGGCTATTGATTTATCAATGATCTCAAGCTTGGAGGAAGCCTGTGCAAATACTGAACTAGCAGTATATAAATTCTATAGTGAAGTGGACTAATGCACAACTGTTAGCATAAATTAAGGAATTTATTTTATGATAACTTATTATCAATCCACACATTTTCCATGGAATTTATAAGGACAGAAATTCTTCTTATTATATACAACCATAGAAATGTACAGTATTAGTCTAAACTATCAAACTCAAACAGTATGGTAACAGTGACACATTGATAAATACGAGTGCCTGTGAGGATAAAACCATCTATAAAATAATTAAATTCATACACATTTATTGGGTAAATATCTGACTGCACATGATCCCATAACTGCATTTTATATGCTTAAAAACTGCTTTTTGAAATACATAGTGAATCCATCATGAACTAACACCATAGTAAGAAAACTACAGAATACCTTCTGGTAATCCATACACCAAGTACTGTAATATTCCTTCTCTCTTCTTATACTAGTATCTATTCCTCCTTAGCCATTTCCAACAGGATATTGCATCTTGGTCTGGCTCAATAAAGCTGCCATTATATAGGCTGAATTCAGCCATACATATGTCCCTCTGAGGGATAAGGCTCTGTAGACAATCTCCAATTTACTGATCCTGAGGAACTGGAAAACCTGAGAGCCAGTGCTCAGGAAAGCCAAATGGATTCCAGAGTTGTGAAGGTCACCACAGACACAGTCAGTCTGGCTCCACCCATCTCACTATGAAAGAACATAAATAATTTGAACCTGACTTTGAATCCAAAGATGTAAAATAAACTGGAATTAAGTTCAACTATGACTGTTAATACTAAATGTTGTAGCAGCTACTTATGGCAGTTTAAAGCATCACTTTTCATCTGAAAAGAAACATTTTAGCTAGTATCAGGCTACCTGGAAGAAAACGTAACTGTTACTGCTGAAACCAGGATACCATTGTACCCCAAACACCATCTCCCTGTATCATTAGGAGCCAGTTTGTTCTTAGTTTACTTCATCTTCCTAGATCCAGTAATTAGGGGAAATTGCCAACACTGGACCATATCTAAGGCTGCAAGTGAACTTTGTCTACACTTCACAAAGAGCACCATATTGTCCTCCACGACAAGGTTTAAGAGCCAAGTAACATGAAACATATTAGACTACCACCGTCTAAGCTTTCTGTCAAGGTCTTCAAGTCCGTCTTCTGTCTTCAAGTTTATTGTCTGTGTCATCACATATTTTATGTATTTTGATTAGAACTTAAAGATTCAGTAGCTATATACTATCGAAAATGACAAATAAACAAAGTAAAAAATATGATTTACTCAAGGAAAAAAGACTGTAAGACACAAAGGGTAAAAACTGAGTAATTACCAGGTTTTTCAGGAGTTCGCATCCTAATCCTCCCGCTCCAATAACCAGCACTTTACACGTGTTCAACAAAAAATCAAGAGCCTGTGGAAAATATAAAACAAAATATTAATACAATAAATATGAAAAAGCATGATTTGTCCTTTACTTTATGACCCTTATAAATGAGTTACTGTACATTTTCAGTGCCTAATAAAAGTTTCACATAAAACAACTTCTATCAATGAAACAGTTTGTGCTTGCAGGGCTAAGCACATACCAGACTTTTAATGTGCTGTTAAGTTCACACAACTTCTATGCCCCAGCTTACAGAAAAGCAAGACCTTTGACGTATTGTTACTCTCTTCATATTAATTTTGGCCATGAAAAAAGCAAGTTCCACCTTTATTATTCCATTTACGGAGATGATATTCTCTTCCTCCAAATATTTTACTGATATAAAATATCCCTCTGCCTCTGGGAGCTCCCCAGCATAAAGACACTGGAGTTCAAAGCCCATGACGGGCAGAGGGAAGATATTGCACTGGGCCCTGACAACAAGGTGGTGATGGCAGGATGGGACTTCCAGTGCTGTGTGTGGCAGCAGGACCAGCTGGTGACGGGGCTGCGCTGGAATGAGAACCTGCACGGCATCCCTGACAACTCTTACCGCTACCAGGCCTGCCGGTCTGTGGCAGTGGAGGACAATGCTGGGCCACTGCCGCTCTACACTGTTCAGGTGCCCCACAAGTGAAAGTGCTGCCCCCCACCCTGCTACCTGACCAAGTGGGATGGGAAGAGCTTCCTGACACTGCTCACCTGGCCCTATGGCACTGAGGTCATCTGCCTCTGCATAAGTGACTCAGGTACCTTCCTGGGACTAGGCACGGTGACAGGCTCTGTTGCCATCCACATCACCTTCTCATTGCAGAGGCTGTACTATGTGAAGGCCCATGGCATCGTAATGACAGACATGGCTTTTGTCCCTGAGAGCCAGCACCGATGGGTTCCCTGCTGCTGGCAGGGAACGAGGATGCCCTGCTCAGTGTGGCTATTAACAGCCCCTGCAAGCTGCACCTTCTGCCCAGCCAACACTCCCTCCCTGTCTGGCTGCTGCTGCTGCTGTGTGCTGGGCTCATTGTAGCTGCCATTCTGCTGCTGCAACTCACCTTCCTGGGCTTCCTGCAGACCCCCAGCCCGGGATGGGCAGACTCTGCCGGACCAGGCCCACCCCCTGCAGGCTGTGAAGAGGATGAGGGACTGGAGTGTGAACGGGGGGGGGGAGGGGGGGAAGGGGGTGGGGACCCCAGGATGGTGCTGGCAGCCATGTGGGGCAGACACCAGCAAAGAGGGGTCCCCCTGCCCCACTGCCGCTATGAAAACTGGAGGGGAAAAAATGTATTGGGGGGGGGGCAGGGGGTAGGGTGTTTCTTTTTGTTTGTCCATGGCAGGGGGGTTGGAACTTGATGATCTTAAGGGCCTTCCCAACCCTAACTATTCTATTCTATTCTATGATTCTATACAACACAAAATAAATATAAACATACAAACAACATTGCTGGCTCAAAGAATTGATTTTTTAACTATATAACTGCTTTCAGTGGATTGTTCTACTAGACCCCAGTGTCAAACTAGTCAATAACGGAACAGTACATTAAAAAGGTTAACAGCAAAATACATTCAACTGTAAGCTCTGAATCAAAATGTACTAAGAAAAGAAAGCAGAAAAAATATATTAAACAGTCTAGATTTTGGTTTTGCCTACTAAACATCTTTCCCGATTCTTCAAGTATTCATACTAACCTTAATTCCTCCTTTAAGTACAAGAAATTCCTTACCATATCTAATTACTTAAAAACAGAGAGAGAAATGCTGCTATTTCTCACGTGAAACTCAAAAGACAGAGCATAATTCATATGCTGTTACACATTTTTATATATGATGACAGCAAGCTTGTAGCTGACAGTGTACAATTTAGAAACACAAGCTTATGAAAAGAATACAAGTTCTTCTAGAACCATAATGTTCAACTGATTAAACACAACCTTTTCATGCACTTTTAGTATTCATACACTCCTGGTGATCAATTAATGAAACTTTACATCAGCCTGCAACACACACTAGATTTATTTAAAGTAAGTGTTTCTCACTTGAGTGCCTGGCTCGAAATCAGGATGTGTGAATGGTCCAGATCGCTCGAGAAACTTCCTTACATGGTTCCAGCGACCTTCCCAGTCTCCAGTGTCCCCACACCCACCATCAACAGCCATTCTGCACAGAACACAGTAAATTCAGCTGCAAAATCATAGAGAAAAAGCCACGCCTCCAAAATGTTTTACTTCTTTATATAGCTTAAAAACACCTAAATTATTGACCATTCATACAAATGCATCTGCATATTCTTTAAGCACATAAGTTATGCACATGAACATTTGCATGAGTGGGTTTTATTTGCAGAACTAGAAAGCAACAATACAAATATGCATAGAGGGGAAAACCACAGGCATTTCAATAAACCCCACTGATTCTGCTTTTACTAGTAAAAGTTGACCTGAAGTGAAAAAAGGGTCTAGCCGTTTTGCTTTAATTTCCCTCATATTTAAAGAGGACACAGAAAAAGAGGTTGTCCCTTTAGATTTTGAGGGTGTCAAGTCCTGTATCCTTTTTCTGACAGATTGTTGAAGTTCATAAATCATATTTAGAATTATCAGTGTGTAACCAGAATTGTGAGGCATTGAATAAATAACAGTAAAATGCTCCAACACTGGCCTCTGAGTCTTCACAGTTAAATGAGTGTTACCGAAAGTAAGAATCTACCCTTTTTTCTGCTTTTGCAGGTCACTTTTAGCAGTATATAAATTTAAACTCTTTAGAGACTTATTGGAATAGTTCAACATCAGCTCTCATAAGCAACTTTCTAACATAGGATCATCACCTACACAGAACAAGCCCTTTCTTAAAGCAGCACACTTCCCTTCTTAAATAGGAGCACCACTCAATGTGTACGTACAATTACGTTCTATGTTAATAAAAAACTAAGCTTGTTACAAAAGAACTTACGAAGTATGAAAGGTTGTGTCATCATTGATAAGGTGCATTATTTGCTTCCTACTCTGAAGTAACAGGAAGAACACTCGGATCAATAACTGTTGAGTAATGTTTAGAATTTATTATTACTTCCTGGTGACATATCTCAGAAGGAAAATGTAGTAAAAATATGTTAACAATGAGTGCCTTTATCCTTACAGAATTCAGAAGATGGACAACACAGTATGTCCAGAGTAACTTTAATTTACAGGCAATTAGTTTTGCAAGAATTTCAGTAACAGGGAAAACTTCACTAAACTGCAGGAATAAATACCTCATAATTCGCTTGTGTTTTGGCTGCAGACTGAACTCATTCCTCATTAACTGCTGGCTTCAGGTAAGTTACTGAATTAACAGTTGAAGATCTAAAACATTTATTTCAGCTCATAAAGGTCTTTTGACCTCCGACTTGCACTCTGAATCTTCCCCAGTTTCCACAGTAATTTGAAAATACATGTATTTCACATCATGGGAGATAGTGTGAATAAATACAGCACTCCCTCTGCTGAACCCTGGGCTCATCTGCTGGATACATTAAGCACTGTCTTATACAAATAAAATGGGCCAATACACATCACAATTACTTCTATGGATTATATCATAATTCTTAACTTTTCTGGAAACAAGTGCAGAAGTGCTACTTAGTGACATTAATTTTTTTTATATAGTCCCTATAAACAGCTATTAAGTAGTAGTACTCCCTTTAGATGTGCTTTTCCTTTATAAGTGATAAAATGGTAAGCTCTAGCTTCATTTTTGTGATTATACTACAGTTTGGTTTTTTACAAGGTTGGACATCGTGGAGATCCAAAAAACATCAATAACTCCACCTGAGATTTTATGTTTAACTTCAGAGACAGGTTTCTAAAGTGTTTACGTTGATGCTGTTACAGCGCTACCAGGTATCTGTTATGAGAGCTTAAAAAATTCTTGTTTATTTCATCGAATTACTTTAATTTGACAATTTAATATATCAGAGCAGCACAGTGCTTATGTTGCTTTAGGCCCAGACTTTCCCTTCTCATCTTCAAAGCTCCATGTGTATGAGGGACTTGGCATGCACCCCTCCCCATCCAACATGCACAGGGATGTTTGTGACCCTCACTCCAACACACACATGCACTGCCTGTGAGTCCACCACTCAGACAGGCAGGTCTGCTTTGTGATCTCTGGGAAGAGGGACACAAGCAGATGGAAGGGAACAGTTAAGGGATGAAAGCAGATGAGGTTAAAGATTACTGAGCATTAGATTTCAAGGCTGTTAAGACAGATGCATAGTATTTAGGGTTTTAATAAGCAGAGGCAACTATTCTGTAGCCTAAACTTTTAATTTTCAGCCAAAATTTAGTCACCTGCTTCTAGCTTAGAGGCCCTCCCCAGGACCCTGACAGGCAATGCAGCTCTTCCCACTCCTGTCACAAAGCTCTCCAGCACACCAGCCTTTACTCATGCCAAGCTCCAAGCCCGCGATTCCCATCCCCACTCCGGGTGAGCCCCTTGGTCCTCTCCCCAGGTAGATTCCTCTTCCCCAGTCCTTGCTATTCAAGCGCCCTTTCGCGTCCCCCTTCCTCATTCTGGCCCCTCTAACACCTCTCCTCCAGCTCCCTTCACCGCAAGGCTCCGGGCCGCTCACGCACAGTCGCCGCAGCCAACGCCTCTCCATCGGGCTCCACAACTAACCCGCAGCCTCCTCCCAGCCCATACCTCTCCTGCGGGGCTGCGGCTCACCCTGACCTACCAGCCACCCCTCAGCAAGCGCTGCCTGCCCCTGCCCCGGGCCGGGAGCCCGCTCGCCCACAGCCCCGCACTAACCCATCCGCCAGCAGCTCCTCTAGCCTCCTTCTTTTCTTCTCCCTAAAAGAGAGAGAATAAAAGAAGGGTCAGTATCGCGCTACAGAGACCGGGGAGGAGAGAGAGGGGACCCCGGAGCCCACCCGTCCCCGGGAAGCGGGGAAAGGGCCGGCCAAGCACACACATACATGGCACTTACGGTTCTTCGCTATCCGCCATATTTCCCTCTGCTTCCCACGTTGCTCCGCGGCGCCCCAATGGGCGGTGCTTCCCCAGCGCGCCGCCGCAGTTGCAGGCCTAGAGAGTCGGGGAGGGGACAGAGCGCCCTGGTCGGGGTACCCCTGGGTCTGGAGGGTAGACCGGGCAGCCCAAGCCGCACCTGGCTCACGCCGCCACTTCCCTCCCTCTATCCGGCCCCAAGCGCCTGCCCCCGGGTCCCCAAGGCTCTCCCGACACCCATATCCCCGATGCTTGCCAGTAGCTCGGGACGGCGTCCTTTAAAGCCCACGGGAAGACCGGAGACCCGAACGTGGCCTCTGCCTGGCCAGGTGACTCCTGCACCAAAGCTGCGTTATCAAATAGCTTTCGCCTCGCAGCGCTCCCCGGGCAGAGTCAGATCCATGGGCTGCATCAACCAGAGCCTGCACACAGAAGCCTGTGGTCCCACAGCTAACGCAAGGAGTGGCCTTCAAGCACTGGGTGGGAGGCAGATGGGCCGATGGAGTGTGAAAGCTGGAGGAGCAACTGTTCTACATGGACTGATGGGGTTCAAGCCACTGTGGCTGCTGGCAATGACCCTCCCCTTCAAAGCCAGAAGGTTTAGGGCCCAATCATACCATCACAGCATCACCCTGTGATGGCTTGACATCCCCCCAGTGCTTCCTTAGCTGGGGCAGCCATTCCATGATCCCCTCCTCTATGCTAGGCCCCCAACAGAGGATGTGAACTGGATCTGTCACTGAATGTTAAATGTGTGACATGTTTTTCTGAGGGAACTATGTTGGGATGAGTCCAGAAGAGGTCGTGGAGGTGCTTCGAGGGCTGAAGCACCTCTGCTATGGTGAGAGAGCACAGACTAAGAGAGCTGGGCTTCAGCTGTTCAGCCTGGAGAAGAGAGTGCTCTGGGGAGACCTTAGTGCAGTGCCTAAAGGGGCCGACAGGAAAGCTGGAGAGGGGCTTTTGACATGTAGAGAGGGACAAGTAGAAATAGCTTGAAACTGACAGAGAGGAGATTTAGATTGTACGTTAGAAAAACAAAATCTTCCCTGTGAGGGTGCTGAGGCGCTGGCACAGGGTGCCCAGGGAAGCTGTGGCTGCCCCATCCCTGGCAGTGTTCAAGGGCCGGCTGGACGGGGCTTGAAGCTACCTGCTCTGGTGGAAAGGTGGGTGGAAACTGGATGAGCTTTAAGGTCCCTCCCTAACGCAAACCCTGCCGCGATCCCATGACCGCACAGCGGCCACTGCTGGCAGCAGCTGCCTCTCCTGGGCAGCAGCGCTACACACGCCTCTCGCTTGCTCTGCCGCTCGCTCCTGCGCGGTTTCCGCGGCAGGCGAAGGCAGGGTCGGGGCCGCCCCGGGGCGGTGCCGCTGCGCTCTTAGGCCTGCGCGGCGGGGCGTGCCGGCAGCCATGGAGGTGCAGGTGGCGCCGCTGCGGGCCTGGGACGACTTCTTTCCCGGCTCGGACCGCTTCGCCCGGCCCGACTTCAAGGACATCTCGAAATGGAACAACCGGGTGGTCAGCAACCTGCTCTACTACCAGACCAATTACCTGATGGTGGCCGCCGCTGTCGTCTCCATCGTGGGGTCAGTGCGTGAGCTCGGATCTCCCTCCGGCAGCGGCGGGCGGGGAGGGGCCGGGCCTGGCCGGGCAGGCCCCGTTCCCTGGGGGGACGCCTCATTCCCCGCGCGGGTGGCGCTGCATCTCGGCCCGGTGACATGGAAAAGGGCTGGGCCCTGCGCGCTGCGCTGCGCTGCCGGGTGGGATGCTGGGGTATAGGGAGCTGCCTTTCTCCGCCGCTCCTTAAGCCTCTGATTTACCTTGTGTCGCTTAAAATATTAAGGCCTTGGTTACAGCCTCTCTTGTAGAAATGAGGCGTGTTGGGTTGGGAGGAGGGTATAGGACTTACTTATTGGTGGGTCGGAGGGCCTCCTCTTTTTTTCCCTCTTGTGCGGACTGCTCATCATTCCCTTTGCCCACGGGAACGGGCGCCAGGCACCCCCAGCTTGTCCCTGGCAGAAAGTAGCAATGGGTTTGCGTGCGAATGCTGCTGCTGTCTGCAAAACTGAGCTGCATCTTGCGCAGTGATGTGTGCTTTCTCACTAAATCTGTCCAGTGGGGCTGCTCAAGCTGAGAGCAACATATCCTCAACAAAATTAAGAAGAAAGCCCATGCCACTATGCAAACCTCAGCTACTATATGAATCAAGAAGAAAAAGCAGCATTCTCAGCCTGTTCTTTAATGGATCACAGGCCAAAGCTCCCTGCAACCCAGAGAATCTTCATTAACTTAGATACTGGGTCAGCAGCTTCAGGAGCCCTATCAAGATGCTGACTGCTTAGCAAAAAGAAAAAGAATGGATTTAGAAGAAGAATTTTAAGCCTCTGCAGGATAAGATAAGATGCAGTACAGCCAAAACCACTCTGGCCTAATGGCTGGGCAACTCTCCAATTTAAGCATTTGCATTTGTGCATTGTTTGTTGTTAAAAGTGAAGTATTCCAGTTGCTATATTAAAAGCTTAATCATCAGCTTCTGCTGCATGTCTGGTTTAAGAGCTTTCTCACCAAAGACCCTAAAGCAATACTTGAAGAAAAGTCACATAGGCTTTGACTCAAAGGATGATTATAAGGTTATTTCTCTGTTCTCTTCAGGAAACCTGAGCCTGACAGAACAGGCTAATAAGAATGAGATTTACAGTCTTCCTGCTCTTATAACATCTTGGTCCAAAATACTGTGTTCATCTACAATTGTTTAGCAGCACAGTGCTGCAGCCAGCTCTCAATGAATTGATAATTCACAGTGGGCTTGGAAAGTAGGGGAACAGCTCTTCTCCCCAAGGTGGGGGAAAGAATGTAAACAGTTTTGATATCTCTGCTTGGAAAACAGTGATGGCAGCAGCTTTTATTCACTCTCCTAAATTCCTCCTTATAAACTTCGATCTCTTCAGATCAAGGGTAATATATCTTCAAATTATTTCCCACTGTTTTCCTGGATTGGGAGATGGAGGAGGAAGAGAGACACAGGAGATGAAGAATAATATCAGAACTGCAATTCTAATATCTTAACATTGAGAGGTAACCCTCTGAACTGAAAACTTGCAGATGAGGAAAACCTGCAGTGGGATTTTTGTCTTAGAGCTTTTTTTATGTGATGAATTCAATTCTTATAACACTGAAGTAAAAAAAATGGTGGGAGAAGAACTCTAAAGGAAACAGGATAACAGAAACTATCCTGTTTTAAATTAGATTTTTCACTTGCCTTTGGGAGAATGGTAAAGTTTTCCCGATATATTTAAATTGATGACTAAGTTGCTGTCTTGCACTTCATTCTGCAATAGGCAGGAATCCCTGAGTGATCAATGATGAATCATGGCTTTTTAGGAACTCTGGTGCTGTACATAAGCCTAACAGCAGGATTATTGAAACTGCTGATGGAATGGTCTTCCTGTGATCAGAACTAAACTTACCCTGTGACCAACTGTACCTGGTTTTAAACCATCTAATTATATACACAGACTTGTAACAGAGAGATGGTATTTTCAGCTATTGTAATACTTGGTAGCTGTGGTGGTGTTAGCTGACGTGGAAATCATAGCCTAGAGTGTTCTTAATACTGGAAGTACAGTGTTTATTGCCACAGCTTCAGTTTACTGCCTCTGTTACTACAAAGTTCACCTCTCCAGCTTTTTACTGTCTCTCTACATCGTATGGAATAACCTTACCACGAGTGAGTGGAATTGTAATGGTCTCTGCTGTATCGTTTGCCTGCCTTTCTCCTTCCATCCACCTTCTCTGATAGCTCCTGTTACATGTAAATGATGTTCTGTGCTTTGCAATAATGTAGATTTTACTTTCAGCCTACAGGACTAGGTAAAAAATAAATCAGTGAACAAGAAACTTAGTGCTAACACAGGCTGGTGGTAGCAGCCTTGTCTCTTCCACCCACCCCACCCTCCAAATTCCTTTAGGAATGAATCTTAACTAGCATGTTATTCCCTCTTCCCCTTCCCCAGTTCTTTTGCAACAGACTGCTATCAACCCAAGATTTTTACTAAGTCCAATTGTGCTCTTTCTCCCATCTGCACAGGACCTGGTTTGCCTGTTCTTACCCTGAGCCAGGGCCCTGTCATTGTGTGCTGTACAGATACTAAAATGAGTGCCTCCCACAGCAGTGTGCAGCTCGCCTCGAACAATCACTTTGGTTAATAAGTGGAATTTGTCTGTGCTTTCACCTACTCCAACAAGGCAGCTCTGTCTTGCAGTTCAAACTTAAGTAGTTAAATTGATGGTATTTCTTCTAGGCTTTTGTTGCCATGTAGTTGCTAAAAATTAGTTTCTAAATCTGACAGTATTAAAAGGTGGACTTCAGAGTGCTGCATCTAAGAAACTCTTCATTCTCTTCTGACATGTCTTTGCACAGCCTGAGGTTTGGTGGCTCTTACCTTTGCCACTTCTCTAAAACACCTTCTGTCCATCTTCACAAACCCATAGCAATGAGTGTGTGTCTCTTTATTTTTCCTTCCCAAGACCACTACCTCAGCTGATAATGCTTGTAGCAATTCCCTTGCCAAAACAAAGACACCAGATCAGCAAAATGCTCCGTTTCTAGATGAAAGATTAAGAATGAGTGACCAGAACACATTGCTTTAAAACATACATTGTCTAATGATATTAGTACATGACTTCATGAAGATCTGGGAATTCTGCAGGAAGGAAGCTGGCTCCTCAAAGCAATGCAAGTGAGCAACAGTAAGTACAGAAGCATTGCTGTATCTGTGGATGCTGAGGGCCATCACCTGGGACAATGTGCCATATATAGTTTTAGTGCTACCTCCAGTTACAGTTATATAACTGCAGTGAAGCCAAAGTTTGAAGAGAGAGGAGGCAGAACATTATCTTTAAAGCTATTTAAATGAATACAAATGGGGAAGGAAGCATTTAAGTGCTCCAGCCTGCCCTCTGCTCAAACATGGTGGAGAAAAAGGTCTTCTAAAAGTGAATTTTAATGCTTGTTTGGTATAATGGCCTAACGGAGCTGCTCTGTGTAAAAATATGATGTTATCAATGACTGCAAGTCTTCTGTTTAGGGCTTTTGTTCAGACTTGCGTGGTCACATGCAAGAGAAAGAGATGTGGCAGCAGCTGCTGAATAGTTACCCAGAGACAGTCATCCCAAATGGAGATGATTTAAGTTAGCTTGCTTTTGCTTTTTATGTGGTCTGTCCTATTTCTGGGCTCGTGCTGTAGGAAGCTTCGTGTCTTGCATGAAGGCTGTGTCTTGCCTAGCTCTTTTTCTTCCCCTGTGCTGTAGCCATATATTCCTCTAATAACTTGCCACTTTTTCTGCTCTAAAGCTGTGCACAGGTGTGCAGACCTGAAATTACGTGACAAAAAGAGGCGATGTGACAAGTCGCTGAAAGCAGGGCTTCTATGGGCTTTCCTGCACCTACCAAATTTAACCCATCTGGCGATACAAGTAAGGGCAGAATACAGAAATATGAAGCCAGTAAAAAAAGGTATTTCATCTTAATCTGTTTTACTGGCCAGAGGTATCTGTCAGTACTTCTTCCCACCCAACTGCACCCCCAGGTGCTAGCATCTCTGCCATCTTCTGCTCCTAATTCCCACACACAGTATCCTATGTTCCTACTTGGCGTAGGACAAGGCCTGTGTCCCTGCAGCCAGGCAGGATGTTTCTTTTATTTATCTTCCCCATCTCTTTACTTTGTACCAAAGCAGATGCCAAAGGGAACCTGATCTCTGAAGGGCAGCAGGGGTGCAATTGCAGGTTGCCCTGCAGCATTGCTGGAACTGAACCTAGGTGACAGCTTTTCCTTGTCAGTTTGTCTCAGCTCTACTGGAGGTCACCACATCCTACCAGGGTTCTAACCTGGCTTACACAGAAGCCAGGGAAGGAGATCATCCCACTAAGATGCTCTGGGCTGTTAGCACCCCAAATACTACTTAGTCCTGTCATACTGAGTCCTTTCAGAGTCATAAAAGTAGTGGTTTTCTTCTTCAACCCCAAAAGAGTTTTTCTACCCCTAAGTCATCCGAGCAATGTAAACTCAGGTTACCACACCATTGCCATGCTAATAGTGCCGTGCACTGCATTTTTAGGGTTCTGAGAGGTCTCGAATTCCTCCTAAGGGGAATTATATTTAGAAAGTATCTTGTAACATATGTAATGGCTGGTCACTTACCTTGTCTCTGCAGCTCTGAAAGCCTTCCAGCCTTCTTGCCTGAGCATAAATTTGGCATATTGTATTCTGATCTCTACATAAGTAAGGCTAATAGCAGTTTGGTGGTTCAACTATAAGGTGACTCCCGGGCTGCTGTACAGCTCTTTTTCCCCCAGACACTGGTGTTCTAAAACGTGTTTTTTCCTTGTTTGTCCTTAGCTATTGTGTTATTGAGAGCAGTGTGCCAACAGAGCTGAGCAAAACTGGATAATGGAAGTCTGCCTTCTCAGAAAATGCCATTGCTGGAGAAGTTTCTATATATGAATTTCTATGAGAATCTTAGCGCTGTGAGTTACGCTGTGGGCGAGTCAAGCAGTAAAGGAGCCTGGTGTATGACACCCTATCCAGTACCATAATCAACAGTATTGAAGTCTGTGGACACATGGCTGATAACCTGAATACCAGTTTTTAGTGGCAACTGCTATCCCCATCTGCTTTCATGTGGCTCTGAATAACTTCATTTGATACTTATGTTCACTGTTTCCTTGTACCCGTTGGAATGCAGCCCACTTCAGAAAACATGTAATTCAAATAACTTTCCCCAGCAAAGTGTGAACTTTCGAACGTGTGCTGGGTTTTTGGTTGATTATTGGGTTGTTTTTCTTCATAGCCCAGTCAGTTATACAGAACCTGTGTAATGCCAGTAAGAAGCATAGAACAGATAAGTCTGTGGTTTCTTTCTTATAAATACAGAGGAATTACTCTTCACCACCAGTTTCTGAAGTTGTAATGAGAGTAGGGAAAATAAAGTTTTGATAGTATTTAACAGACACGGGAAAATTGTAGAGGGGAGCTCAGCTTATTCCTTTGTTGCTTCCAGGGTTATCTTTTGCACAGATTTTTGGGAACAAAGAATTGGTTGTGAGTTGCCTGGGCAAGTTTAGCCATTTCTGCTCCAAGACAGCAGTGATGTGGAGGTGAGCTTTGCCTTAAGAATCTCATACGTCCTGTACTGTGTATATAGTCCAGGCGCTAGTGTGGTCCAGTCATGAGTCACCCTCCTTCTGCAGAGGAGCACAGATGAAACCGATTTCCTTCCAGAGCAATGCTGTTCACTTTTTCCAGCCTGGAAAATTTAGATTGACAATTCAGAGCTAAATATAATCTGGCTGGCTACGGGGAGTGACTCAGATGCAACGAGCAAGTCTGCCCTGTCACCACTTCCAAAAAGCCCTGTTGGCTTTTCAGCATGAGTAGCAGAAGCAGGTGGGGAACTAGTCTGAATTTTAATCTCTTTCTATGCAGTTGTCCTGTCTCCTGTTGGCACAACTGACATAAAGAATCAAGAGCCAGTCTGTCTTCTGAAACAGTGCTTTGGGGTTCTTCCTTCTCTAGGAGAATGCTCTCTGGTGCTGCAGGTAGGGTGTTGGCATACCAGTCTAGCAGCAGATTTCTTTTGCTGGTGCCGGATATGAAGCACAGACCACAAACCAGAGCATCCTCCTCCACAGTGGGGTGGAGTGGTGAGTCACTGTGCCTGTTAGCTTTGGAACAGTAAAGTCTACAAGAGGAGATCTTGACTACATCTGGCTTGATCAGGGCAGTGTTATGCTACTGTCATAGTAGCAACTCAGAGCCCTCCGCTGCTGTGTAATTAAATCTGTGCACGTATAAGCAAATAAATCAGAATGCACATGAAATCACATCACTTATTACAGCGTAAGTAAATACAATAGAGCCTGGACTTTATGCGAGTACCGCTAAGCAAAGTCATTGCTGAAAGCTTAACTCTCAACGAGCTCTGAATATTTGGGAAGTGGTTTGAGCAGGTGATGTTCTTGCCCTGGCCCAAAAAAGGGACTTGCTGTTTATAGTCCAGAGCTGATCCACTTGGTGGCTTGGTTTGCTTGGTAACTATAATAGAACACAAACCTCAGCAATGACTCTCTTGCCAGGCCTGGCTCCACTTTTGACCCGTACTCCAGTTCCTTCTGACTCTTAGGCATGCTTGCTTGGGACAGGGCTGCAACTGTTGTGCTGACAGTGGTAAGCTCCTTCTGCAGGTTCGCAAAATCATTTTGTTTGGGTGTAAAGCAAAAAGGCTTATTCAGAAATAAGAAATGGTAGAGTAACTTGTTTCTTTTTTACTCGGTGTTTCCCTACTTTTCCCATTGTGCAAACCCAGATGAGATAATCTGAAAAGCTAGTTCACCTGAAGGTCTGGGCTGAACCTGATTTTGGTCATGTGTAGGAAGAGCAATCCCTTGAGAAGCTGATTGTTGGCTCCATCTGCTTGTGGGATTTGTTGGGTCTGATATCAAACGAATGTATTGATTGCACAGGTAGGAGGGGTCCTGGTGGTGATTGCTGCTATCAGTGAGGTGCTGCAGAAACTCTCATTATCCTCAGCTATGCTGAGGATGAGAACATAAAGACAAAATATTATCTAAACTTCTAAATTCACTGCTAAGGGTTGCTTGATCAGTTGCACTTGTTGCCTTATTTGGCTTCTGCCTAAAAATTTGATGCTGATAAAGGTCTTGACAGCAACAACTGAATTCCTAATGCCCTACCTCCCTAGTAGCAGGTTACTAGTGAACTAGATGTTTGCTTATATGAACACAGGTCATGAAGACTCTGAAATGAGACACTTACTTCTGTTTTCTTATTTCTCCTCTCCAGATTTCTGAGTCCCCTGAATATGCTCATTGGTGGTACTGTGGTGGTGCTGGTGTTCATGGGGTTTGTGTGGGTATCGCACAACAAGGATATCCTCCGCAAGCTGAAGAAGCAGTACCCAACTTCATTTGTAGTGGTCATTATGCTGTCTAGCTACTTCTTGATCTCCTACCTGGGAGATGTCATGGTGTTCATGTTTGGGATCACACTTCCTCTCCTCTGTAAGTGTTCTTTTGCTCTGGGGGCCTAAGGGGATGTGACTTGGGCTTTCTCAGTTAAGTCCGCAGAGTTTAAATTGGCTGTTGCCCTCACTACCTCTATTTATATGACCTCAAAACAAACCTGGGCAGGGAGGGATGCAAAACAGCACAAGCCATCTTTAATGTCATTATTAAGTGGGTACCTGTGATTATTTAAGTGGTCACTGAGGCTTCCTCTTCTTCCAGTGCTGTCATGGTGCTGGCGTGCTGCAAGAACTATGCATTCCTTGAGCATTAATTATTAATAATTGTTTCTGTCATGCAGTGATGTTTGTCCATGCTTCTCTGAGGCTTCGGAACATAAAGAACAAGCTGGAGAACAAGATGGAAGGAATAGGCTTGAAGAAGACCCCAATGGGCATCATACTGGATGCTCTAGAACAGCAAGAGGATAGCATCAACAAACTGGCTGACTACATATCTAAAGCAAAGGAGTAAGCAGCTGCAACGTAGCATTTTTACCTGTTGCAGGAGTGTAGTTGCTATTTACTATTGTTCAAGCTTGCTTTCAGTTTGTGTACAAAACAGGAAATGCACGTGGTACAGATTAATAATTGCAGGATACAGGTATTCCAGTGTCTTCAGGGCTCCTCTAAGAACATAAAAGCAGCAGTCTTTTTGTATTGTATAGCAAAATGTTCTGGTGTTTACACAAATACATACTAACTTAAAAGCATTTGCTTGTCTCTTCTTCTGGAGGGTAGAAGAAGAAGAGACGGAAACCTATGGAATGCAGTCTCTCCAACTGTCCTGTAGCAAATTTGTCTATTAGAAGTACACCCTTTTCACCTCAGATCTACAAGTTGGCAGTTTAGGCAGTTTTTGCTGGGTAGCACCTTCAAGCTGGCAATGCTCAAAAGTGAGCTGGAGTGTCTCAAGTAGGTCTCTTGCATCCTCCATATCCCTCACTTGAGTGGTCTGAATTGAGACCATGTTGCTAGTTGAACTGGTTGTAAAACCATGAAGCACTTGTAACGAGAATGGGTTCCTGCCCTCAGCTCACATTCCTCTGTTAGCAGCTGGGAAACAACCTAAATAGATCTGAGCATAAAGAGGCACTGTGCCTCTGTTGGTTCCAGTAAAACACATCTCTTGTCTCTCTGAAATCTGGATCTATAGAAGCTGCTTCTCTCTGCAGGAGAGCCAAACCACCTAACATACCAGCTAAACTATGGCCAGGCATGGGAGGGGAAAAAAGGCTTCAGATTTGTTGGATGAGCTGGGTTTCTACCCTACTGATGTTTTGAAATACTGCTACTTTAAGACTTACCTTGTTCTGCTTTAGTCTGTATAGGTTATTCTGTAGATGGAGGTTTATGTGTGTTCTCAAGTGTGGGTCTTTTTCTTTCTTCTTAGCCAGAATGCAAAGATACAAGTAAAACATACATCTTACTGACTCTGTACTTCTGACACTCTTCAAAGGAATAAACTGGATTTCAGGTTTACAAGTAAAAGCAATAAATGTCAAGATATGGTTTTTGAAAACCCATTCCAAATTCATGAATATATCTGCCTGCAACAACTACTGAAAATGGTGGGGGGGATTCTTTTATATATTTTAACTTAACTGCCAGCTCTGGAAATTAATCTTGATGACAGGAGCTTACCAACAATGGGGAGGGAAAGTTGTCCAGGTGACACTTCATTTCAAATGATCTTGCATTTCTCTTTTCTATCAATCAGTCATTAATTTAACAAAGAAAACCAGGATCCTTAAAGTTTAAGCTTTTCTGTAACTTTACCATGCTGTTTTCATAGTGAACTGTGTAGAAATCTGAACGTGTCATTCCATTTAAGTGTTAAAGTGATCAGTATTTATTGAACATGTCTGTATATTCCAGCTGAAGAGTCAATGGCCTGTTCCTCACTTGTAGCGCATGGTCTTTGTTATTTGCAAACTGTTTCCACACTTCAAGAACGTAGTAGCCTGACTTCATCATTACTGTAGAATTTTAAAAACTACACAGTTACAAAGAAAAATAAATTCTAATGGTGATTACTGAGTGTGTTTATTTCAGGTTGGGAGAAATGGGTGGAAGCTTGAGCTTGGATCTATTGCCATGATTGGTGGAACTCCACTGAGTGGTTGTGGGAGATGTGTCACCCTGCAGCTTGTGCTTCAAGCCTGTGCTTGTGGTTAAAGCTGCTGGGTTTGAGTGACCTGTATCTATATTAACTTTGTTGAAGCACAAGGCATCTCTGAGTTGCAGGAATGTTGTGGCCTTGCTCTTGCATCCTTATGCAGGCTGCTCAACAGAGGTGGAGTACTTCAGACATTTGTTCTTGCTGTTTCAGTCTCTTACACAACTCTAATAAAGTGGGATTTTATATTGCTTTTAATTACCCGAGAGGGATTTCTGCTTGTAGGATTACTGGGAGCTGTGCCACAAGCAGTACAAGGAGCCCAGTTCTGCTGCAGTCAGACTTAACAGTGTGATCTCTGTATCTGGCTGCCTCCCTCCCCTCCTGTGATCACTCAAGAAGCTTCTCGGTGGGAGAACATGGATCAGACAGAGCAGGGCTTCCTGCCTGTACCCTGGTAATATGTTTCAGCTTCTGCAGCACGGCTGCTCCTGGGTGTAGGAGTCATCTGGACCTGGCAGCTTGAGTTGAAGACTGTGAAGCACTGTTATCCCTAGTACTTCCCTGTCCCAGCTGCTGGAGTCTCAGCCTGCCCTTGAAGCCTGTATGGAGAGCTGCACGCTCAAAGTGCTTTCTGGCAGAGCTGCTTTTTGCACTTGTCATTTGCTGCTGTGCTCCAAGATTGTACGTACCAAGTTCCTTCCCTTTCCTACTTTTATGCTTTACAACAAGAGAGGGCGGGATGAAATGGGCCCAGTGAAAATGTTACTTCTTTTTTTACATCTCTGCCATGCAGAAATAGCTCTCCCCTTCCCCTTATGTGATATTTTAAAACCACCAGCTATGTCTTAGGCAATACATTACCCAGGTTTCCCAAGTCTGAGGCATTACAGTTGCAGACAGAAAGAGCTCAGAAGGAGCTTTACAAACTGGGAAGAGGGAGAGTTGCAAGACAGCAGGTGATAGATGCAGAAAGGACAAGGATAAATGAAAACTTGAACTACCTTGGATTCAAAGAGATCCTGGATATTGCTGGTATGACAGGATTAGTGCAATAAATTGGGAAGTGGAAGCAGGGTGGGACTGGGATTGCTAAGAGTTACAGGCAGGAGCCGGGAGAAACTTTCCTGAAGGAAATCCGGCAAAGTGTGCCTTTTAACAAGTGTTTCAGCCACAGGAATGCAGGGGAGCTGCATGTTAGCAAAGGGAAAGGCTTTGTTCTTTCCCTGTGCCTTTTAGCTTCAGAAAAACAAAAACTCCCAAAGCATCTGGTCTCTTGTGGATGTGTGACTTGACTTACCTGTAGCTGCTTTACAAACAAGGCTTGTAGCAAAAAAAGCGATTAAAAAAGGGGAGAAAAAACAAATCACAAAAACATTAAGGAAGAAACCAAGTTGTGTACACGAAGGTTTAACCCCAACTCATCCAGCCCTGCTAGGAGTGTGACATGCTATTCACACTCTGTACTAAGAGGAATGAGGAGTTTGTTGCATCCCTGGCAAAGAGAGGTGGGGCTCATCCTCATGCCACAAGAGCAGTGTGGAGAGAGACCTGAAGTGGGATTTCAGTGTGCTCCAAGGCAGCTGTAGTTAGGGAATACATCACAGCCAAAGGTGAATCGTGGGGAGTGAAGATTACAGCTCTCAAAGCAGAGCACAGCATCACCTTCTACATGCTGATCAGGTACAATGCCAACTAGACTATGTTCTGAAATAGAGGTAGCTTGAGGAGTTTGATGTACCAGAGCAGTTGTTCTGTTCTGTGAGTGCCTTGTTAGCCATGGAAGTGCCGCACACATCTTACAGAGAGCTTTATTTCAATCCTGTTTCCTTAACTAAAAAATGGAGCTGTATACATGGAAACCAAATAACATTTCTCATGGACAAGAGGATAATAAAGGAGCATGTGTGTGAAAAGAAAGATAAGATGAAGCACACAGCATTTCCTGCAGAATCTGGCAGCAGAAGGACAATGTGGAAGCAAAACAGTTTGCTGACAATCTAGAAAGACAAGGTTACTGATGCCTCTGAGAAAATACTCCCACAACAAACTGGAGCCTCATATCCACTTGGGAGACAGATGGCACTGGGACTGTTTGATACCTGATGGAAATGCTTAGCACTGACTTTTCCCATGCCAGCCATTTTCACCACACTTAGAAAGTTACGTATCACAAGCTTTGTTCCCAAAGTTGTATATACCACCTGGGTTCTGCAGAAAACATCTGCTGAAAGACTTGTAAGCAAAACTTGAATAGTCTTTATTCCAGTTTGTTTTCTTCGGGGCAGTCTGGTCTCTCACTCCAGCTGCTTTGGCAGAGGCACCTGGACAATGACAGTAAAAATTAGGAGGAGGAAATTTATCAGTCTTACTTCCCAAGCCAGATTAGTTTAATAGAAACCTCCAGAAACTGTAAAAAGATCAAAATAGAACAGCTGGGAGATCCAAGGAGCTCTGGTTGGGAATTCCTGTTTGTAATTCCCCACTTGCTATTCGCAGTGCTTAATGCCTGGTAAATCAATTTGCAAGTGATGTATCCCACCACAGAGCAACCAAACACCCAGCTCTGCTCAACCACTAAAATCCCTTTTTAGAGATGAAGACAAGGATATTAAGACAAATAAGGAGTTACCAAGATCATGCAGGCAGGTGAGAATAACACCCTAATGCCCCAAATCCAAGCCATGTGGCACAATAACAGGGGACCAGAAAGAAAACAACCCCCACAAATGACCAAACAAAACCCAACCCCAAACGTGTCCATCACTTTATATTTCCATTTGCCCTGATAGCAGTTGTTCCCTGGCCCTTCTGGGATTCAGCATCAGTTGATCCCTCTGTCCCAAACCCCACAGCCCTCATTCATAAAAACCTCCCGAGGATTCTGGGGGCATAGCTGGGGTTCATTATTGCTCCCTTGTACATTTCAGCATGAGGGTCTCTTAATCATTGCTGTGTAAAGTGAGGGCTGTGCCCAGCAGAGCATCAGCACCATTATCTTCCATCTTCCTGAGGAAGGAACAGCAGCAGACCTTGTGGCCATGAAGAACCAGCCTCCCATCACACACCAATAAATCATAGAATGGTTTGGGTTGGAAAAGACCTTAAGATCATCCAGTTCCAATCCCGTGCCATGGTCAGGGATGCCTCACACTAGACCATGTTGCCCAAAGGCTCTGTTCAGCCTGGCCTTGAACACTGCCAGGGATGGAGCATTTAGCACTTCTTTGGGCAAGCTGTTCCAGTGCCTCACCACCCTCACAGTAAAGAACTTCTTTATCTAACCTCAATTTCCCCTTTTTAAGTTTAAACCCATCACCCCTTGTCCTATTGCTACAGTCCCTGATGAAACCACGACCTTTGCAAGAGCAGGTCTCGTTGGCTTAGACATGGGACTGAAATGCAAAATCTAGATTGGCCTAGAAAGCCCAGAAGTGCCCTGAGGAGAGGCCCTGGCTGCAGGGCTGGCCAGCGAAACTACAACCCCAAAACTTGGCTTGGCAGCAGAATGGTCACATTAAACCTGGACCAGCATCAGAGGTCACTGCAGGACCTGCCCCTGCCGAAATTTCAGGATAATCTACTCTCTCTGGAATGACTGAGGGGATAATTGTTTCTGTGTAGGTATGGATGAAAGCAGAATGTGGCCCACTGTATTAAAATGTTCATATTAAACAGAATATGAATTACAATGTACTACTGACCACTTTTAGTTGAAAAGGATTTTCTGTCCTCTTCCTCTAGCCTTAGCAATACAAAGAGATGCATCAACATCACTAGCTACAAATACATCACTTGGCTTTCAGCATTACTTGAATAAAGGTACAAGGCAAGGAAGTACAACATTTAAGAAAAGCAAAAGGTTAAATCTGGTGGCCAGCATTTGGAGAAGTGGCCCATGAATTTGGTACTCAAGCAGGAGCATCACCAAGGGGCAGTTATCACAGTTAGGGACTTGGATTCTCAAACCCATGAGCTCACATTTGTTCTTGAGTTATGACTACTGAGTGCTTTGAGTAGCAAAGATTTACCTGAAACACAAAAACCCCTATGGTACTTTCTTCTTACAACCTTGCTGCATCTTCAGTGCTAATGGATCTAACTTCTTATTAGCAATAGAATTGTGCAGTTGATTTAAATAGAGAGTCACTAAAATAACACACTCCTTCCTACCGGGTGAGGCAGGTGGGAGCAAGTCCACAAGCTGTGTGGCTAGGCCAGATTTCAGATCCTTTCCAAATACAATTGGTACCTTTTGCCTGAAATGTTTTGAGGCAGCTGTAAAAATGTGTTACATATTCAGGCAGCAGAGAAAAAGCATCTTTAACTTATGTTGTTGTTAAAACTCAAAAAGGCTCAAACATGAGGAAAATAATGTTGCAGCAAGGGTTTGTGCATTATCACTGTTATAGAAAGTAGCTCTAGAGAACAAAAATAACTTTAAAAATATGTATTAAATCCCTCCTCACATAAAAGGCTTTAATTTCATTTAAACCAAATCAAATAAAGGCAGTCACAGACCACAACTATACCACAGACCCTTCCCGCAGCCTTGGCCTGGTTTGTGGCAGCACTGAAGGAGCGTGATCCCTGGTAAATTACATTGCTGCCAGTGTTTCTGTTCACCCTTCATTAAATGGGACAAATGATGGTGCTACTCAAAAGAGAAACTTGGGGTTTACGGGGGACTGAGGATAGACTAATGGGAAAAATAATACAGAATGCTCTCCTGAAACAAACATCTTACAATAGCATTTGCCTGTCATAACTAACTGGCTATCACTAGTATGCTAACAGTGAGTTTCTGTGGTTCTATTTACCTCCTGAGTGAATCTCCTTTCTTTTACCTTCATGGATGCAGACAGGGATGTGCAAGGCTGGAGCCTTAGCTCTTGCTGTCATTACTCTGTGCAAGCCATACCTTTGTGCTACCAAAGGGAAACAACTCCCTGCACCCAGGACTGGCAGCCTGATGCAGAAGGATGATGACACACAGTGCACAGGGTAAGCGTGCACACCCCACTGAACAGCCAACGTGTCAAACAGCAGCTCTGGAGCGCTCTGGGTGATCGCAACTCCCTCCATCACCACCATCATCAAGCACTCACCGGTTTAAGATAAGCGACGTTGCTCTGACGAATGTCGTTTAGTAGCTGATCTCTTGGGGTTATTTCAACCAGGGGAGGTGGCCTTCTCCTGGGGACTGGTTTAAGTGTCTTGATGACGTCTTTGAGGTTGGTTTTCTCGGTGGGTTCCACATAGTCCGGCACAGCAGGTTTGCGCTGAATCTTCTTCAGCTTGACCACTCTGAATTCAACGGGCTTCTCCCTGCATGGCTGCTCTGGGGCTGGCTGCCTTGTGCTCTCCTGCCTTTTGTTCAGAGACATAGCCATGGGGTCGGCTGGTTTCGGGGCTTGTGGGGGTTCTTGCATCCTCAGCTGGGGCAGCGGTCCCCCCAGCATCTCCCACATCCCCGGAGGCAACCCAAGTCCATTTTCCAGCATCGCTATCAACTCTCTCTGCTCTTTCATTTGCTGCTGCCTTTGCTCTTCTTGCCTCTTTTGCCTCTGCTTGTCCAGGTTTCTGCTGAGCAGGTTGGTCACCACCATCCTGGGCCCTGGCAGCTCAAAGTGATACCCCATTTTGAGGAGGGTGGTGTTGGCTTTCAGCAGCCTGGCGATCTCCATTTCTGCCTGGTGGCCCAGCATGCTCCTCTGGTTGTGAAAGCGGAGTTCCGTCAGCGTCTCGTTGTACTGCAGGCACCTCATGATGGCAACGATCCCTTTGCCAGAGATGAAGTTGGAATCGATGTTCAGCGTGGTGATGCTCCTGTTCTCCCGCAGCATGTTCGCCAGTGCAAAAGCCACATTGTCATCGGCCCCCACGTTGGCCAAGCTGAATGTTTTTATGTTCTTATTCTTTTTCATGGCATTGACAAAGTCTATCAGCATTTCTTTGGGGATGTTTTCTATGTTGTTCAGGTTGAGCTCTTTCATGTCTGGGTTGTTTTTTCGGACTTTCTCCAGACTATCTTCTAAATTGGTTTGGTTTCCTGAAGGCCTGGCACTTATCTTCATGAAGCTGGTATCCAGCGCTAATTTTTGGGGGATGTTTAATTTTGATATCTTCTTTTCACTTGGCTTTTCTGTGGCTTCTGCTGATTCTGTACCTGGTTTATTACTTATCTGATTACTGTGACTGTTCTCACTGGTGTGAGTCTCCTTTGTTTCCACTTCGGTCTTACCTTCCTCTTCATCCTCTTCCTCCTCCTCCTCTTCATCATCATCTTCCTCTTCTTCATCCTCACCTTCCTCCTCCTCCTTCTCTCTCTCCACATCACTCCCATCCCTCTTTGTCTCCCCAGATTGTGTTCCTGAGTTGGACAAGTGCTCGTTTTTGTAATGTCTCTCTTGTCCCTCTGCTCCTGGCACCCTCCTGCTGCCGCCTCCGTCCTCTCCTTCCACCTCTTCTGCAGCGCCTCTCTAGGGAGACAAAACCTCACAGCTTAAATAGTCAAACACAGCTTTGTTACGTTACCTTTCTGCTCAAACAAACATGTAGCCACTGGAGTTAGATGCCTCTATTCCCATACGTTACAGAATAATCCTTAAAAGTGCCGTTGCCTGTAAGTCAGAGCTGTCTGGCTTGCTTGGGAACACAAGAATGACTGCTGTTAAAGTGGCTGCAAACCAGTTTCTCATCTTTGCCTATAAAATTAAATCCTGATAATTAAATCCTATATGCATTTAATGCTATATTAAGGTGGTCCTTGAGCCCTTCTGGGGGTTAGGAGTCTTTCATCTAAAGTAACTTTCTGGATTTTGTGTAATTTTTATGGTTGCCTTGATAAGTGAGAAAGTTTATTTTGAATGCCACAAACCGCTGGAAATCAGTGTTAACCACTGACTGTTTGCCCAGCCCCAGGAGGAGCCAGAAGGGTACATTGTAAATGACAGTGGAGTCACCCAGCACATGAGACAACAAAGCCGCCTGCTGTAGTACCTGCCTGAGCATCACAACTAAGGAAGCATGTCACTGCAGATAGAGCAAAATATTAGCTCAGAGATAGGAAACTGGACTCTGCACAGAGCTGATGCAAGGCAATGGGGCTTACAGCATCAAAATAACATCAATTGCAAACATCTCCACAGACCCTCCTGGCTGAGATTTCTTTATAAGCATCTTTTTGCATGTGGTTCCTCTACCACTGAGAAATGCCAATAAAGCACTGATACAGATCAAGATATTTCTATACGAGATTTGCACTACTTCAGGCAGGGCAGTGTCACAGCTTGCGCTTCACCAAGTCAGACAAAGCAGTCACAAGTCATTCCTGCGCTCAGGGCTGCGGGTCCTGCTTGCTGTAGCAGTGGATGGGTTTAGTATGGGGATTGCTTGACCAGTTGCAGCTCTACACTCAAATTCCAGATTTAACCCCAAAAGTGTTAGAAAAGTATTGTCTCTTTGAGGGTAACTGAGTTTTACCCTCATTGAGGGTAAAAAAAGCGTTGCAGGAGGGTAAAACCATCAGATTTCCCACTTTGCCCAAAGACAGCCCATGAAACCTGCCCTGGGAAGTCCGTGATGTGCTGTTGTGCAATAGCAAAACTACTAGTGTTTAAAAACAAACTAAATATTAAGATCAGTTACCTCAGATTCACTTGGGTTTAGGGATGGATACGTTTCATCTGGCCAAGCTTCCATCCTATAAACCTATTTTTAAGTGAGGCCCTCATTCTGAAAAACATCTAAGTGTGACCTTAGAACTTTATTTCAAAGTCATAGGGATAGTAGAATAAGTCTAAGTACTGTGTTGAAAAGGGTTGGAGTGGCTCATGGAGTTAAAATACACGGTTCTGGAGTTTTGTCCACTATGACATTAAATTCTGTTAATTAACTAATTGATACATATAATTAATGTAGTCTTCTATGGAACAGCAGTATGGTGCTGCTCTGTACACACAGTTACATCCTCCAAACTTGCTTTTATGACAATTTCACAGTGGTTTGTTTTACTGCAACAGAATTAGGATTTCCTTATACTAAAAAGCTTAAGTAAGTATTCATGAAAAGCAATTAAAAAATTACTAATCCTGATGTCAGCCCAAGCTGGATGCTGACATCACTGAGGCTTTTAGGATTAATTTCAATTTGTACCGTACTTTATATAAGGGATGGAAGCAGAGGCAGGTTAAGGTATTAAAACTATAAACCAGATCCCACAGCAGATGCATAATAAGTATTAGTGATTTTTGTTTGTTACCTCGGAGGGCAAGAGGGTGACGAGAACTCTCTCATCCTCAAGCATGCGTCTGGATGCCTTCTGCCAGTACAGGTAATCAACCAGGGACCTGTGGTCAAAGCTTCCCGTTGGCGGTTTCTCCGTCTGATCCCTCTGTATCATCCCAGTTGGGACTTTGGGGTCTGGGGCCATAACTTCCATCTCACACTGCAGCTCCTTTAGCTCCTCGGGTGATAGGTTTGCCAGGATTTCATCTTCATCAATGTCCTCAGTGCACACTTGTTCATCATCAGAGTTTTGCCTGAGTGCAGACATGTTCCTTCTCTCCTTCCTCTGTTACTTGTCAAACCTGAAGAGAAAGACCAATTTTAAAGGAATATTTTATTTCCCCACCTCACTAGCAGTAGTTCATTTGGTTAAATCAACAACTTCATGCTTTGGTCATGAGCTGTGGCAGCTCTCAGTCTCTGTGTGGGAGACAGACCGTGCAGCTAAGTCTATATTAAGCTGCACTTGGCTGGATGAAAGGAATTTATGGCGATGCTCCATTTTCAGCAACCTGTCAGCTGTGCAAACCCTTCTGACATTTCAGTGCAGCTGGTGAGTCCCCCATCGAGTAAGGCAGGGGATGGCCATTTTCTAGAGGATTCCTGGAGCACTAAGCCTTAGAGTGCCTCATCCGCACTTGGACTGCTAAGGGAGGGTGGAATGACATTAATGGTACCTGGGAGGTGTGCAGCTGAAATCCTGAACCGTGGGAAGAATCAGCACAAGGTCTTTGTGTCCATAATGCCTTGGATATCTTAAAAAGGAATGCAGGCTCTTCACTACCTTTAGCAAGGTCTAAACCCCATGCACCAGGGAAAAGAGGCTGGTGGAAATGGCTTGGGTGGTGGTCAAAAGCCAGCCAGATAGGAGGGAGCAGTATCTGCTCCCAAGAAACAAGTGACAGGATCAGAGGAAATGCCTTCAAGTGGGAGGTTTAGATGGAGATGAGGAACAATTCCTTCCCCAGAGGGTGCTCAGGCATTGGAACAGGCTGCCCAGGGCAGTGCTGGAGTCATCGTCCCTGCAAGTGTTCACACCCCATGTAGGCGAGGCCCTCAGTGCCATGGGTTAGTGGTGGCCTTGGCAGTGCTGGGGAACGGTTGGACTGGATGAGGTTGAAGGTCTTTCCCAACCTGGTTGATTCCATGGTTCTATGGTTCTATGTGGCACTGACACCATTCACCTCCTGTCATCCCCAGAGGTGCTGCATATGCCGCCAGCCGGGCGCCTCGGTCACCTGCAGAGCCCGGCGCTGTCCCCGCACCTTCCACTACCCCTGCGGCAGCGAGCGGGGCTGCATCTCCCAGTTCTTTGGGGAGTTCAAGTGAGTGTCACCGCCCTGGGGTACCAGAGCCAGGGCCGGGATGGACGAGAGCTGGGGCTGAAGCATCACCTCCGTCCGCAGGTCCTTCTGCTGGAAGCACCGGCTGGTGCAGCAGGACCAGACCCTGTGCCTCATCTGCCAGGAGGCAGTGGCGGGGCAGCCGCGCTATGACACCCTGGTCTGTCCCACCTGCACCAGCACCTGGTTACACCGCTACTGTATTCAGGCAGGCAGCAGCAGCACCTGCGGTCCCCGACGTCATCAACCCTGTGGTCACCCCATCACCAAGTTCCTGGGGAGGGTGAATGGGACCCCAGCACCGCTGGTGCTGATTCTGTGTCTACCCCAGGGCCAGGCGCTGCGCTCTGCCCTGCACTACTTCTGCTGCCCTCTCTACAATGACAAGGTCACCTTCCAGAAAGAGATGTTCCGCCTGGGCATCAAAATCCCGGACAGGTCAGTGCCCTCCCCCTGCCTCCTTCCCCTCTGCGGTGCACCGGCCGATCCCCTCCTGCCTCCCCACATCCCCAGGCCTGAGCGCTCCTCTGGTCCCACAGGGATGATGCCTGGGAGGAGGATGGAGCCTTTGCCAGCCATTATCAGCGGCACAGCTCCTGCGACACCAGCCAGTGCCTGTGCCCCGTGGGACGGGAGGAGGCAGAGGAGAATGGGTGAGTGCTGGTGGTCCCTGAGGTCGCCCCCTTCGAGTGGCGATGGAGATACCAGGCTGGCAACCCACATCCATCTCAGGGGCCTTTGGTTGCAATGGGTCCCATCGGCCCCCCAGGCCCTGGCAACTGCTGCTCTGCCACTCCTGTGGTTCCCAAGGGACCCACCAGCGCTGCTCCAACCTGGGAGAGGAGGTGGATTCCTGGCAATGTTGTGACTGCAGTGACACGGGCACTGGTGAGGGCTGCAAGCTGGGGGGCGGGACACAAGATCCCAAGAGCCATGTGGCCACCACTGCTACTTGCTAGATTTAGATTGGATATAAGGAAGAAGTTCTTTACTGTCAGGGTGGTGAGGCACTGGAATGGGTTGCCCAGCTACGTTGTGAATGCTCCATCCCTGGTGGTGTTGAAGGCCAGGTTGGACAAAGCCTTGGGTGAGATGGTTTAGTGTGAGGTGTCCCTGCCCATGGCAGGGGGATTGGAACTGGATGGCCTTAAGGTCCTTTCCAACCCTAACTATTCTATGATTCTAATGTTGCAGGCGGTTTTGGTGTGATGCAGCCAACATCAGGCCCTGGTTAAGGTAAAATCCTCCAAGGTGGAAAAAGGGTGAACAGTCAGTAAAACACACACCTTGTGCTTGGGACAGGAGTCCATGTGGGGATGGGAACTGGCCCTTTGAACCAACCTGAGTGGTCCCCCAGGCAGCATTTCCCCATGGAATTTCCCACAGCACATCCATGGTCTGCTCCCGTACACTATGCCCAGAGGCAATGCCAGTACCCTGTTTCTTGAGTGGTCTGCCTCTGTCATGGATGTTATTTTCAGTCAAGAGATCTTGGCTGACAGCTCAGCTCAGGTTCATCCTTTTCCCACTTTTTACCACTGTGTTACAGAATAAGCAACTACAAAGATTTAGAACTGATGCAACCATAGATTACCTGAAGGCCATTTCTTCATTAAGTATCCGTTCCACCTAAGAAGTACCTCCTTCTTTGTTCAGAATATTTCATTGGCTTCTAAATCTGTGTATCAATGCAGAAAGCCAAATCTCCGCTGTGCTCATGGCTGCTTTGTAAAAGCAGAGTATCAGGACAGGTAGTTTTTCCACCACAGTGCAGTATCAGTACACCACAGCTTGGGCTGCTCATTGCACCAGGAAGACTTCCTCTTACCATTTCAAGTATTCTTGCAGTGGGTATCAAATCAAATGCATCTTTCACAGGAAAAAAACAAACAAAGAGGAGAGGCTGTGAAACCAAGCCCCATCAATTTTTAAGCCATATTTCTCATTACAGCTTCAACCATGCTCCGCTGGAGTCTGCCAGCAGCAAGATAGTCTCTGCATGAGGATGGTTTCTCTATGCTGTGTTTTGTAACAAGAAACATGGTGATCAAAGCCCTGTTCAGCTCTATTAAGAAGCCATTATCCAAAGGTCCTCATTTAATTAATGCTGTCAAAACAGCAGGGAAGAGAGCAAGACTTTAAGAAGGAAATATGTGGTGAAGGAAAATATAACAAAAACCCAAGCCAATAATGTACTGGCTTCATTTGCCCCTTTGGTATTTCAAGGGACATCCTTATTTTATATTAAGCAGTAGCAAGCACAACAGCAGGCCCACACATCAATCTATCTGGTCTAGCAGATTTAAACCCCAGTGATTGGAGTCCATGATAGAGTCCATAAATGGTTTCCTGGTGTTATCAAATAAATCAGTGCTCTTCAGTAGCTGCTATGTTACTCTCCCAAGTGATGCTGTTTGGACCACAGAAGCTGGCTATTCAGTGGTTACTTATAACTTGCTAATTTCTTGACTGTAAATAAATCCCCTGGCCACCTTCTTGTGTTTCCATGATCCTCAGCCAGGCCATCTTGGGCCTTGGTCTTGTCAGATGTGCTAAGTTAAGTAGGGCTAAGCCCATGAAAGTTCACTTGGGAAGGAAAACACAGATACTGAGAACACCATCAGGTATTCGAAAAGCAGGTTTTCTTCTAACTAGAAATATATCACTTGTCAATACCGTGATGAGGAAATACTACACTGCTGGAGCAATGCCTACTCCGTCAGATGCAAAGCTGAAGGACTGCCTGGTGGCACCTCTCCTGGTGAGAAAGGTGCTAATCCCACAGATTTCCAAGGTGGGTATCACATTCTGCCTACTTTAGGTTTCTCCTCCATAAATTACCTCAGGTTCAGGATTCACTTCCTTTTCTAACATGTTGCGTTGTGTTTTGGCACACTGGAAACGGCACATTACAGCAACAAACAACACCATCAGGCTTGGGACACACGGCTGAATGTAAAAGTCTTCTCCAAGGCAAAACTCCCATCTTCTTCCCAGTAACTTTTGCGGGTATTCCCCTTGGAGCTTTCCAAAACAATCGCTCATTCCTCAGCCTTCACACTAGGACAGGAAATCCACTTCCATCAGTAGCACTTGCTATTTTCACACCAATTAGACACTTGCTCAGGAATATCCGAACTAATAAGCTACTGCATGAGGTGCTCTGTTACCAAACAGCAGAGAGCTGTGCCAGCAGCCACGCTCAAACCATAAGCAGAAGACGAGGTACCTGAACAGCAATCACAAAGAGATTCCTATGGGTAGCAGCTGAAAAAAACATGCTAAATGGGTACCTAACAAGTGGTAAATGAAAGCACTTTAGGAGCAAACTGATAGAGGCAAAGGTCTGCCCTTGGGAATGAACAATTCATACTCGTGGCTCACTGTTCCTAAAGCAGGTACAGATGAACTCTAGCATGAAACCCAGCAGGCTTTCATACAGGATTGTCTCACCTCATTGATTTCTCTCATTTATGCATTTTCTTCAAAACTTCACCTGTTTCTCTCAAAAGCAAAAGGGTTGTCAACTCGAGAGAGGCAGACTCCAGTGTCACCAGTTGACACGAAGCAGGACACCAAGCCATGCTTTAAGTGCCTAAACCATGTTGTATTTTTAAGGTAATACATGGGACACATGTTGATGCCAAATGCTTGGGAACAATTTCTATAATGTCGGCTTTATTTTTTTTCTGCTTATAAAACCCATATGTTTATTCCCCTCTATTACCAATCCATAGCATTTCCAAGTGCCAAGGCCTTAACTGGAAGGAGCTGGAGAATGTGCCTGTGTAACATAACCTTGCATCACTTTTAAGAAACTCATAGGTTTGATGGGGCAGTCTAAAATTGGCAAAGAGTAGCATACACCAAGCATGTCCAGCAATGCACTGTAATGCAATAGGGGGATTATAAAGGGTCAGATGATGGAATCTTAACAATAACAACCACTAGGTAACGAAAGCAATCGTAGAGAGACACCCTGTGGAAAAAACACCAAGGATCATGTTGGGAAAATAACCCACCTGCCCCACCTCCAAATTGCTAGAGATATAAATACATCAGATTAAGTCTGGTGCTTAAATAGAGTACGAACATCTGACTTTCGAGGTACTTGCCCAAGTCTCTTGACAGGGAGGTACAAAGCCAAGCCCCATGTGAAGCAGCAGGCACAGGGGATGGGATGGAGCAGCAGGGATGGGAGCATGAGCCCCTCAGCCCTGTGCTCACTGAATCACTGCATCCCAGTGCAGCACAGTCTCTGACAGGTGCAAGCAGGGCTTTCAGTGGGACCTGGATGCCTCCAATTTGGTCCCCAAAAAAAAGAACACAGTGATTATTTTTTAGTTTCCAATTTCAGAGAAGTCTGATTGCAGCTACACTGGATCCTCCCCACACAGTAAAACACCTCTGTCATCATCCACATTCCCTATTACAGAGAAAAGAAGACATTAAAATGTGTAAGGAGACAGGAGAGCATGGAGGGGACTTTGGTCATTAAATTAAGGATAAATTAAGGACAGAATGTTTTAGCTTGGGTCAGAGTACTGAACCCCCCCTCACTGGTGTGTCCAAAGCAGTCCTGCAGGGAGAAGTACAGGTGAGTCCAACGTATACACCTTGGCTGGCACAAGGCAGTATGGGCAGAGACAGCTCTGACCACAGGTTACCCATGGGCATTACACAGGACGTTTATCCAAATATTACTGTTATTAACCAAGGCCTTATTATTCCAAATCTGTGCCCAAGACTGGCCCAGCCCCAGGCTTGGAGATTCAATACTTCACATTGGAAATGAGAGTTGGGACCCTCAGAGGAGACATTAATTCTCCACACAGTCTGCATAGAAACCTTCTTGTGACTTATCTATACTCTGGGTTTGCACAGCAGAGCCTCAGGAGAGATGAAAGCCTCACAGTAAAACCAGCAGCTAGAATTAAACTTTAAAAGGCTCCCTCCCTTTTCAGCCAAATCTATAGTTTCCCTCCAGATGCTGCAAGGCAGCACTATGAAATCACAACTGCAATAAATCAATGTCAAAGACTCTTCAAGGTGTGACAGCCACCATCGTAACCTTTTGAACAAGCAATCACCTCCACGTTTATATGAAGCACTGAATTCAGCACAAGCCAGATCAGATAAGAAACTGAGTCATTCTAGGAAACAACGTCACCCTTCACACTAAACACAGGGTGTATCTTTCTTTTATACATCCAGACCTATCGCAGCCTCACACCTCCTGTCATCCTGTCACGAAAACATGCCTGTGGGCAATGATGCCGGCAATGATGGGGATTGAGTTGTGTATGCACAGGGTATGTCCTTCCCTAACCTCAGCTTGGAACAGGTGGAAGGGTTTCTTCTAGAGTTACTCCATGAGCCCTAGTTGGCTGCAAACTCTCCTCCATCTGCAGCTCTTTAATGGTATTCTAAACGTTAAATATGAGACTCAACGCCTGCTGTGCTTAACACAGGCAGGAGATGCCCTGGGAGGCGCAGCACATCCCTTTGCAGTCAAGGACTTGCTGAAGGACTTATGGTGATTCCCTTCATGAAGGACAGACACGGATAACAAAGTTGGGTGGATGGCAAGGAGCTTCTTCCTGGTTAAAGGTCTTGCTCCTCTTTCATGATGGGCCCAACATCTCTGTCCTGGGCATGACTCACTCCATCCCTTCTTCCAAGAAGGAGACATCACATCAGGTTTGACTTGCTGCATCAAAGCATGGAGTAATTGTCTTTGATGATAAATCCCATCCTGCCAGGCAATCCACATGGTCCTGAATCTGTGTCTAACAGCTGTGAGGGGAAGGTCCTGCCAGACAAGGCAGGAGGGTGCTGCTAGTAGCATGGGCATCACAGTGATGCTGGGAATGGGAGAAAGTGTCTTTGGGAAGCTCAGCCAGGCACTGCAGATATATTGCCCTGGAACAAAAGGGTGCTTGGACAATTTGTGACAGGGTGGGGCAGGAGGGAGCTAAACGGGAAGGGAAGAGAGTGGATGACAACACAGCAAAGGTACAATTGCTTCTTCTTCCTCTGTCGAGGCCTACAGTGGGGATCAACCCTCAGGTCCCACCCATAGGTCTCAGTGCTGGGGTCAGACTTGGAGAGCAATCAGAGTTTCCAAAGTCCCAACCATGCATCGTTGGAGGGAAGACCATTCCTGGAACCACCGGCCACAAACCCATCTTACACAGTTTACACCTGAAAACACAAATGGCCACCACACACAGCCCTGCCAGGATGCAGGCCCATTTGCTCACTACTTGGTGAAACAGCAAACACTCGTGTGTGCAGAGTCACCCAAACTGCATAAACCCAAATGCTGAGTCTAATGAAGGCTGTGTTGGGTGGGAAAAGGTGGGCTGCTGCCAGATTTCAGCTGTATGTCCCCTTCCCCTGCTCTACACAAACACCACGTTCATTATTTCGCTTGACTGGAAAGCCAAATAACCCCCAACTGATCTAAGGAACAACACTGGGCTCTGCATGCAGTGGTGCCAGAAGCCTGGTGCCTTCAGCTAGAGAACAAGGAGGGGATGCGGCAGCAAGAGACACAATGCCCACCGCAGTGCAATGAGAAAATGCACACAGAGCTGTTTATGTCTTCACATGAAACATCTTCCCTCACTGTATTTATCTCAAACGGCTGCAAAAAGGGAGAACTAACCTATAAATCAGTCCAACAAGACAAAACATTCCTAAGAACATGGATTTTTTTTTCTCCTAGCACAAGATCCCTGGGTAATGAAAAATCCATGGAAAACAGATAGTTGGGCTTAAACTAATAACCATTAAATAAGATAAACACAACGAAGTTTGTTCCTGTTTGCTGTCTGTGTGAGGTGCTGCTATAGCCGAAGCTCTCCGCTTTCTGCCTTAGAAATCTATTAAACATGATAGGAAAGCACAATAGAGACCGCAGAACTCTTCCTACCGGAGACCTGAACTCACCCAGGAAGCGCCCGGCAAGTGCCGGGACAGGCTCGGAGCCGCTCCCCTGCATTAACCCCAACGCCCAGGAGAGGGAGCAAACCTGCAGCCCTCGTAGGATTTACTACAGGCATTTCGGGACCCGCTGGAAGGCTGCTGACGCACCCGGGAGCTGTGCAGCCGGGTACAGACCCCTGCTGCAAGGCTGCTCCCGTTCGAGCTGAACAAGTTCAAACCTGCAGGAGTCACTTCATGCATTGAGCCACCCTGGCCGACAAGTTTCACCTGAGCGCGCTCAGGTTTCTGATCTTGAAACACTTCCTGTGCTCGGGGAAGGGGCCCTGGTCCAAGCTCCATACAATCATAGAATAGTTAGGGCTGGAAAGGTCCTCAAGAACATCCAGTTCCAGTGCCCTGCCATGGGCAGGGACACCTCACACTAAACCATGGCACCCAAGGCTCTGTCCAACCTGGCCTTGAACACCGCCAGGGATGGAGCTTTCACAACTTCCCTGGGCAACCCATTCCAGTGCCTCACCACCCTTACAGAAAAGAACTTCTTCCTTATGTTTGACCTTCACCCCTCTCCAGTCCCTGCACCGGAGGAATGTCAGACTCCAGTGTCCCATAGGGCTCATGGCAGCTCCCATGGGAGTTTGTGCTCCCCTATCTCCAGGTATTTCTGTTCAAAACGGCAGAGAAGCAGGAGGCAGCAATTAAAACCATCAGGCACAGTGCCCTAGTGCCTCAAGGATTCCTGGCAAGGACTGTTTTTTCTTCTTCATCCATCAACTAAAGAGCACTCAGAAATGCTCCATTACATTCCATTTTATGTGGGTTTTTATTTCCCCTCCACTCATCGCTGTCATGTTCTACCTTCTAAAGAGAAACATCTGTAAAACCGAGCACTGTGGGTCTGTGGGTGTTTTACGTTGTGGGCTTTTTCACCTATTGGCTTTGCTCTGGATCGTCCTAAATATGAATTTCAAAGCATTTCTTCAAACTGGAAAGCGCCAGAAGGATTTCAGGAGTGCTCCTCTCGTCAATGGTGCTGGTCAGTCACTAGAGGTCCTCAGTGACCCTGGTGAGGACGCGCTG